CCTTCAGCTCAGGTCATGATCCCAGGGTCCTGGGATCGAGCCCCACATCGGGCTCCTGGCTCAGTGGGGAGCCTGCTTCTCCCTCTCCCTCTGCCTCTCCCCCTGCTCATGCTATCTATCTCTCTCTCTCTGTATCTCAAATGAATCTTTAAAAAAAAAAACTCTACAAAGAAGATTCAATTATTTTCTCTACTTGACAGAAGCAACTGGGGCTTTGGGACTTAAGCAGCTTGTCTGAAATTACATAGCCTGCCTTTGGTGGTAGTGGGGTGTGAACCCCGGCAGCCTGACTCACATGCCTTTTACCTCTATGATATACTTCTTCGTATATGCATCCAGGGCTGAGGTACCCAAACCTGGTACAATCCTTCTGAAGAACAATGAGGCCAAGCCATCCCTAGAGTCACCAAATCCTCTTGCCCACTAATAAATTGCTGAGAATGTATCTTAAGGAAACCTATATATAGAAAAGCAAAAGCTACATGCATAAAGATGTTCTCCGTAATGGAAATTTTTTAAAAAAAATATTTTATTTATTTGACAGAGAGAGAGTGAGAGCACAAGCCGGGAGACAGAGGGAGAGGGAGAAGCAGGTTCCTCGCTGAGCAGGGAGCCCGACATGGAACTCGATCCCAGTACCCTGGGATCATGACCCGAGCCGAAGGCAGCCACTTAACCAACTGAACCACTCAAGCGCCCCCATAATGGAAATTTTTTAAATGAACAATAGAAAAATGGCTAAATTAGTTGTGATCCATCAACTTGATGGAATATTCTATAGTCATTTAAAAATGATAACTATGGAGATATAATGAAAAGTAGGGAAATATTAATAAGTTAAAAGACTCAAAGTATGTGTATACTTGGAAATACATTAATAATTGCATGTGCATAAAAGTGACAAATTAAAAAGAAAATTCAAAAATGATAATAGCAGTTAAAAAGTCATGGGATAATTGGTGACCTTTTTCCTTTCAAATATTTTTCATTTACAACCAGAAACAGCAATCAAAGACTCCCAAAACATATCCCATTAACAGATGTCTAGAAAGTGATGCAAAGATTCTTTTTGTACTTTCCCCCAAACCTCTTCTTTGGAGGAGATGAGTGGTGATTATGTCCATTTACATGAAAAATTGTTAAATTTCTAAAAATCAGGCAAGAAAATAAAAGAAATTTTATGATTCAATATCGTCTAACACACACACATCTAGAAGGGTCTATGCTGGAATATCTATTGTGGCTATCTGTGGGTGGTGAGATTATAGGAGATTTAAACCATTTGGGAACTCGGTGTTATATACAAGTATTCATTTCTAATAATACTTGTCAAAAGCTTTGTATAGGTAAACTATTACTAAATTAAAATACTTTAACACAATCTTGGCAACCAACTCCATAATTTCACCAGAAAAATAGGACAGCTTTCCCATATCGTTTATTCTACACTCAGACTTCACTAATCCTGCTCCTTTGACTAGACTCATCAATAAATATATCTCATGCTAATAGTCCAAAACGACCAACTGAGAATATAGCTACCTAGTTTATACAAGAGTCTGGCACTTACGCACACAGATCACTGACCCATGTATTTGTATCAAGAAGGAGATGCTATTCATAAAGATTTTATTACAAGGATTTAAATTTCTTTTTTTTTTTAAGATTTTATTTATTTGCGAGAGAGACAATGAGAGACAGAGAGCATGAGAGGGGGGAGGGTCAGAGGGAGAAGCAGACTCCCCGCCGAGCAGGGAGCCCGATGCGGGACTCGATCCCGGGACTCCAGGATCATGACCTGAGCCGAAGGCAGTCGCTTAACCAACTGAGCCACCCAGGCGCCCTTATTACAAGGATTTAAATATACTTTCCTCAAATAATACTTCTTACTGTGAACTTTAAAGCTTAATAGAAAAACACAAGCTCAGAAAGCTAGTCACATTCCCCAGCAACAGAATAAGGAAAAATAATCATAAATCATTAGGTAGAAATACCTGGTGTTAGCACCAAAAATGAACCATTACTTGTATTAAGTACTTTTAATCCACTTTAAATGTTTTATGAAAGAAATAGATATAATCTTGATGAAATCTGAATATGGCTAGGAGGCTGAGAAAAAACAAAGATCAGAAAAAAGAATAAATGACTAGAAAAGAAGCAAAAGTAAGAGTCAAAATTGAGGGTTCCTTCAGGGGAAAAAAATAATTCCACGATAGGCGGAAATAGATTCTGAGCACATTTTAAAACCTAGCATCGTGAAGAAATGTCCACAGGAATAAATAATGGCGATGGTGATGATGATGGCATCTTCCAGAAGAGGTCATGGTTATCAGGGATGGAAGGAGAATGTCATGGGGCAGAGCCAAAAACCAGTTATATTCAAAACTATTAACTGAAGTCTTTAAAAACTAGAAAGGTTTTCATCTGTTGGGTTTTCCAATGGAGGCCTGTGTGAAGGAATGGACGTTATGAACATCTTGTGTGTCCTATCATACGAATATTAAAATGAGGACCCAAGGGAGAAAAGCCCTAAGCATTATTAGACACCGGAGTCATGTGTTCACTATCTCACATCTGACTGGCTCACCCCGACGATGCCCTGTCTCGTCCCCGCGTAAGCGTGGAGCAGGGAGGACTCATCACATTTTTCTTCCTCTCCTGAGTTATGAAACAGTACACAGAGGCAACGAAGCCATACCACCCCTAAAGTCTCCTCTCTCCTGCCTCTGCCACGCATGATTTTTATTCTCTAAAGCCATTTCTTCCTCAAAAGAGCTCACCAGCGTCGTCGTCCTTCCTATCGGCTGCCCCACTGGGCTCTAGTGAGTGACATCCAGACATTTAAACTCAAAAGCTGCTTCAGAAGGGAGTTATTAAAATTCAAATGAGCTGGGCATGTCGAAGAAGAAAACACTCGTTTGCATGCACACCTCCGCATTTGGCCATCCCATTTAGACCCACAGAGCAGGGTCTGGTTTTGTTTTTGTAAATGGGCTTTGGAGGCGGAGGTCAGCCTCCCACGGCCCCCACTCCTTTGGGGTCATCATTAGTAATGTGTAAGACTGAATAGATTTTCCTCTGAATCTAGTCAGCAAACCTGACAAGAAGGCAGCCCTCTCCCACAACCTGAAAATGCCAAAAATCTGATTGGTAATATGGATTTTTAATACTTCATTTATCTGTCTTAAAATAGCTTTCAGTTGAGATTGCAAATAACATCACTGAGGCCAGCCTCACCTGATTTTTCAATTTTAGAGCAGAACATTTCCTGTTGTGCCATGACTGTGTAATCATAAAAATGTTCTGTTTAACCAAGAATTTCCCACAGGATTCAGAGAAAATTCATGTCTGTCAAGAAATAGGGACCTGGGGAGTCAACATTACATTTTATTCCCTCGAAAAGAAAAAGAGTATCTTTCATTTTGTCTGAAGAATTTTTATTTTATTTCTCACGGAAATAGCTCAAATTAGCGTCATTTAAAACTTTTGTAAGGTATCAATGAGCAAATTAAAAAAAAAAGCAAAAATACATATTCCTAAGATTATCTTGGCTATGGAAATTTTAGACGCTCCTTTAGTAAGTATTCAATTTCTTACTAATGAAGATATCTCTATTATGACACTATTATTAAATAGACTTAATTTATGACAATATAAACAATTCTATATTACAGGTAATATATTACGTGTTTATATATAAATATTTTACGTACAACGACATTAAGTATATATCAATTTTTTACTAAGGGTACGTAAAAGCAGTCATGCTAACTCATGACCCTAAAATAATACTACAGTTTTGAGAACTCTAGGAACTAAAGGAATTCATCTCCAAACTCTGAAACTAGTTTATAATCTGGAAGCTGCAGATGACATGACCTTTAACGTCCCTTCCAACAGTAAGATTTTACTCTTTTACGACCTTCATTAATCAAACCTGCTTCCTCCAGATTTCTTCAGTTTAATATGTTTAAAAACCTCCCCCCCGCCCTAAAATTGGGATGGTCTTATCATAATACAGACACTGGATTTGCCCAGATGGATCTAACCAGGCCAGGCAAGAAAGAAGCTAGCAAATATCAATGAAAGAATATTCTATGAATGAAACTATGTCCTGAGCTATGAAATTCTCAAGGAGGATACATTTTGCCCTCACATCTCTTAAGAGTCGATGTGTATCAGTAGAGAGCATTTATTTAAAGACTTATATGGCATTTCTTGGACTGCAGTTAAAAACAAAAGGCAGGGCGCCTGGGTGGCTCAGTCGTTAAGCAGCTGCCTTCGGCTCAGGTCATGATCCCAGGGTCCTGGGATCGAGCCCCGCATCGGGCTCCCTACTCAGCGGGAAGCCTGCTTCTCCCTCTCCCACTCCCCCTGCTTGTAGTCCCCCTCTCGTGTCTCTCTCTGTCAAATAAAAAAATAAAATCTTAAAAAAACAAAAAAAACCCGAAAGGCAATTCAATCTCTGTCTTCAGGTTGCTTGTGGTCTAATGTGGGTGGTGGCAGCAACAAAGAGTCCCACACGGACAAATGTTTGCAGAGAAAAAGAACACAAGCTAAAATTAAGAACAACAGCCAGTGATTCCAACAACAGAGAGCGATCATTCGAGGTTCAGGGAGAAGACTTACTTCCAAGTTAGATCCCAGCTGTGTTTTCTCTTTTCTGGTCACACCCGCTCAACATGGACAAGAAAAGAAATGTGTGCTCATACTTTTTAAAAAGGTCAAATGAAAGATCAAGGTCTTCACAGATCCCCCTGACGCCCACCCCCAATCGCCAAGGTCAAATACAATGATTCCAAGAGACGACACGGCGTGTATGTTTATGTACCACTTATGGTCATTGGCCTCGTGGTCATTTCTGTTGCAAAGATGGGCTAGCAGAAGGAAACAGTTACTCCTTCAAATTGATTATGGTTTAATCCTACAGAAGCAAGCTTGGGGCACACAAACCTAAATCGCAGGAAGAATGGTGAAATTCAAGGAATGTGCTCACTTGCCTTTTTTCCCTCCTGTAACGAAGAAGCCCACGGCCGCTCTAATAAAACTGCTCTCGGGCAGATAGCTGTAGTCGGTGGGAACTGTGAAGGCAAAGAACGATCAAATTAGCCGGGAACCTGGCGGGACTGATGAAGGCAAGATAATGATCTCACGCTGCCACATCAACCTAGAGACAAAGCGGAGATGTTTATGCCATTCATCTCAGCACAATACTCTGTGGTGGCATCTAATTCTATTAGATTAAGTGACTGGCCTTGAAGTAACCACTTAGGCTATGCAAGCAAAGCTAAAATGGTGGTAAACCTAGCAGAGACTGCAAAATCACAGGGGATGGAAACTTTACTGAAGCGGGTAAAAAAAAAAAAGTCCTTTCCACCCTGTCACATCAATAAGCTCCAGTCCAGCGACCCTCGGTGTCTGCAAGGAGCCTGCTGGCCTCTAGGCTGAGACCACCATTCTAGGGATGACTTGAGGACATCCTGAATCAGATCTATGATCCAGGGAAATGCAACAAGCAGTAATAACAGCAGCCGGCCTGTTACTTCCGAAGGCGGGGACCTCTCAGTGAGCAGCATGTCCAAACCACCAGCCCCAGCTGCTGACCTGGAACACTGAGGCAAGCGACACAGAGGCAAGGCGAATCTGGGGAGTTTCCTAGATTCTTTTCCTCCCAGTCCCCCCAGGATTGCTTCAGGACATGCTTTTTACTGCAACAATGGCTCAACTGGAAAATTCCAACAGAAACGAGGAGCTATACTTTTCCACACATACAAGCTCTGTGTCCCAACGAACCTGGGTGAGATGGTTCACGACCACCCGACTTGAGTGCATGTGGGCCGGACCGTGTAACCCAGAGCATAATGATCAACTTGCTATTTTACCAGGACCTTAGGAGTGCGCTGCCCTTCCCAACTAGCATTACTTAAGGTTTCCACCATGACTAAGTTTGGTGGGTTGTTTCCCCCCTCCCGCCTGTTCCCATTTTAACATGACAGCTTCCAGTTGTCTCAAGTTCATTATGTTGGGAATGCTGCGGAACAATGTCCTATTTCTCTAGCTAAGGAGTGACTGAAAGTGAGGGGAACAGGAATTATAGTGCTACGTGTTCAGGGTGATGCTGTCCCTGCACTACCTGTCAGGGGATCAGCGAAACTAGGTTTTAATGAGAAATCTTTGGTAAAAAAACCTCTCTGGCCTGGGTCCAAGAGAGCCAGTGGGTCAAAATTCTATAAAGATCAAGGAGCAGATTCAGGTCCCAGTGTATTACAGTGATGCCTTCTGCAGAAAATCTCCAAGTACAAGCTTAAATTAAGCATGTGGGAATTGCAAATATTTTTTGTTTTTTATCAAAAATGTGGAAATAGAAAAGGCCTTGTTATGTTAAAGACGTGGGATTTTAATTTCAACGCCAAGTATGTGCATATCTTTAAATGTATGTACCCCATTATTTTCTTAAAAGCACGGGCCCGGAGAAACCCAGTCTTGGAGGAAGAGACTTTTAATGAAATAGGAGTATTATACAAACTGTAATTCCATCTAGGAAAATAAAAAGAACTCTCTTCCGAGCTTGAAGGACCTGTTCCTACTTTCTGGATTTGTCACTAAACTCCACATGTAAGTCATGTAATCTTTCTAAGCCTCACTGTCTTCATTTGTGAAATATGGGGTTAGACTGTCTAATCTGCTCTCTGAGTGAGGCAGGGAGGAAGAATGAAAAGAGGTGACAGAGGTGAGTTCAACTGTGTGTGCACCACTTGCTGGTGGACATGTGACCCTGGGCAAGTCAGAAAGCTCTCCACAGCCCCTCTTCTGATATAAAAGAGAGATGGTATTTGGGCAAGTCAGGAAGCTCCCGAACAGCCCCTCTTCTTCTAACATAAAAGAGAGATGGTAACACCCACCACTTAAGGCAGCTACAAAGATTAATGCTCTCAACCAAGTACACGGCCCCCAGTCAGCAAGCCCTCCTCCAGCCCCAGTGTTCTAAGACTCCGATCTTACCAGAGGTTCTACTCTGACTTGAGGACAGAGTAGATAGGTGAAGATGTCCTAGAAGCCAGAGAGCATTTGACTGAAGACCAATCACGCCAGACACACTGATGACCTATGGATTAAAGTGTAACAGTTCAATGATCAGGCAAGATCCACACTCCATTTAATAAAAGGTCACTCAGAGAAAGTCATTTATCTTTTATGAGGTGGTGGCTTGTCTGGTAATGACAAGTTCTCTGACAAGACGTAATATCAAGTGTCTAATATACTAAACCCTGGACACACAGGTGATCAACAATTATTGCTGAAGAAATGAATGAATGTATCAATCAATCAATCATGACAGAAGGTAGTACCGGTTGTCTCAGGTTTCACGGAGTCTGACTGGTCTCAAAGGAATTTTTTTAAAAAAGGGAGAAAAGGGACGCCTGGGTGGCTCAGTCGGTTAAGCGTCTGCCTTCGGCTCAGGTCATGATCCCAGGGTCCTGGGATCGAGCCCCGCGTCGGGCTCCTTGCTCAGCGGGGAGCCTGCTTCTCCCTCTGCCTGCTGCTTCCCCTGCTATGCTTTCTCTCTCTCTCTCTCTCTCTCTGACAAATAAATAAATTAAAAAAATAAAAAGGGGAAAAAAATCCAAAAAGTAAAAACAAGGTGTTATTTAAGAATAAAATACCTCTAAAAATGGAAGGAGATATTATTTTGTTCTCTTCTTTAAGTAATGTTCTATTACTGCTTTATCACTCATAATAAGGATTTTCTTAAATAACTTTTCATTTATAGATTTTTATCCCCCAAGTTATAGCCACTTAAGTTTTGGTATAATTATTTTTCTGAGAATCACATTCATACATGCAAAAGAGTTTCTTCTGTTCAGAGATTTATGGTTGCTTTTCAAAGCATGAATTATTAAAACTTATATATGTGGTAGGTGTAATAATCAGCTGTATTTACAAGAAGGAAAAAAGTATGCTAAATGAAAAGACTAAGTTAAAAGACTATCTACAAAGTTCTATATATAGTAAGAATACCAATCGTGCAAAGAAAATAAGAGTACTTGAAAAGAAATAAGACCGGGGCGCCTGGGTGGCTCAGTTGGTTAAGCGACTGCCTTCAGCTCAGGTCCTGATCCTGGAGTCCCGGGATCGAGTCCCACATCAGGCTCCCTGCTCAGCGGGGAGTCTGCTTCTCCCTCTGACCCTCCCCCTCTCATGCTCTCTGTCTCCCATTCTCTCTCTCTCAGATAAATAAATAAAATCTTTAAAAAAAAAAAAAAGAAAGAAGACCAATTATTACTAACACTTGCTTCAAGTTGTGAGGACCACCAATGATATTTTTTCAACTTTTTTCATTTTGTGCTTTCACGGTTGATGCAATGAAACTAATAAATTTTTATAAATAAAATCTTAAAATATATAATCATTCCTCAGCAGATGAACATACTTACTCTCTAGCCAAGAATGCTGATAATAATTAACCCAAATACTTTTATCAGTGACATCTGACTTGGTGCTTCTCAACCATTCTTAGATATCTATCCTGCCCTTTGATCACCTTCCATTTTACTTTGTCCTGAGGCCAGGACAGGGTCAGAGTTTCATTTTTAAAGGAAACCAAGCCAACTTAAGTTAACTCGAAAAGGCCAGCTTTTTTTTTTCCAGAGGAAGTGCGTGTTTGTCAGTGAATGTGGGGCCATAAGCTACTCTCAAGTGCTGCTTAGACTCAATGTGAATAACCAGAGATCTCCTCATTTTCCAAGTAAAACTGTTTGTATCATGAAAGAGAAAGGCAGTAAAAGGAAGTAGCTGAGGGGCACCTGGGTGGCTCAGTTGGTTGGTTAAGTGTCCGCCTCTTGGTTTCAGCTCAGGTCATGATCTCAAGGTCATGAGATCGAGCCCCACATCAGGCTCTGCACTGGGCGTGGAGCCTGCTTAAGATTTTCTCTCTCTCCCTCTCCGGCTGCCCCTCTATGTGCTCACACCCACATGCATTCTCTCTCACTCTCTTTCTCTCTCTCAAAAAAAAAGGGGGGGGGTAATTATCTGTTTCCCCATCCAAGGGTTTTAAATTCCTCTTCTCACCTGAGTTACAGTTTTAATGACTTCATTAAGTCTGGCTTGAAAATGAGAGGACTGGATAGCTTCTGACTTCAGCTGAAAGAAAAAGAAGAAATATCCACCCCAACATCCTCAAAAAGTAAATAATGATATTCCCAGTGGATGAGCTATCATCTTCTAAGCTATGGTATCATTTACCATTACGTCCTTACATTTCAGAAACAAAAGCTGTGGGCTCCTTGAGGGCAGGGTCCATGCTGTATTTATCACTGATTTCCTAACATCGGTCAGTGCCGCAAGAAGCACTCATTGAATAGACCTTCACTGTATGAACACAGGCGCTCCCTAGCATTACTTGTAAACTGAAACATACATATGTCCACCGTGGAAAACATTTAAAAGTGAAAGAATAACTACCTAGATATAAACTTAAACATGACAGATACAAAACGGAGTTTCTTAGGGATAACTTTTGACATTTCGTACAATTCAGTCACTTTTCTCAGGCAGGGAACGTTGTGGGAAGTACGCAGGCTGACTAAGTTTAATTCTTACGAACCAAATAAAAGAAGGAACAAATCTCTAAAAATGAATTCTCCACTAAGAGCAATTTTCTGTGTATCAAGGCATTGAAAACCCAGTATAACCGTTACTACTACGAGCATGTATTCTGTCCTTAGCACACTGAGATACTGGGTATTCTCTTGCTGTGGTTAGGCACACATTTAGATTTCTTCCCTTCGTGTTTTGTTCATCTGTTTGTTTGTTTTTTACCTGCGTTACATCCCCTTCAGAGCCTACCAAGGCCACCATGCCGTGAAGCGCTGCCAAACAGAGCATTGTAGGAGTGCCCTGAAAACAAAGCATCAGGTATGTCAAGAGGCAAATAGTCCTGGGGTTTGAACCCTATAAAACGTATTATATCCTAGAGAAACACTGGTCGAGATGGTACTACATTTGTAGGGTCAACATAACCCGCATCACGGACCCAAAACTGGCAGCTGACTTGAATACGGTAATAGGTTGAAGTTACTTGATCAGAGGTGGCTTCTTGCTGTTCTGTATTTTTCAAAACCACAGCACTGTTGGAAAATTAAAACACTGAGAAAGTAGCCTGTGCTTTTTAAAAAAAGCTATAATGGTTGACAGGATGTATCATTTACAAGGGATTGAAAGTTCCTGCATCTCTTTCGTTTGAAATTGCCTATTCTTTTATTGTTTGGCTATGTATCTTAGCAGCACCTATAAATGGTCCAATAAAGTTGCTCTTTTTTCCTTTATAAAATATAAAATCACATGCTAGGACTTGACCTCCTACCTGTGCTAGAACAATTCTGATCCAGGCGGGGAGCAGTCTGTGGCCCAAGTCCTCAGCTTTTCCATGTCCGCACAGAGACAAACCATGAACTAGGTTTCCTAACGCCAGGGCAAAACCTGAAGTCTGTTATAAATGAATAAAAACAAAGGGTAAGGAAAAAGAAGAAGAATAGCACAGATGGCACAGAATTTTATAGAAAGCATCTAAGCACTTCGAGGGGCTCCCTTTCCTACTGACAGGTTCTTTCACCATCTGAAAATCGGCGATTTGCAGATTTTTTTAAAAAATCAAGACTTCGGTTTGCAACAGAAACTGCAGTCTAACTGTAAGGAATTCAGCTGCAGTGAATGCTTTATTTTAGGAAAATAATACTGGACCACTACAAGACTTGATTCAAACGATCCAAATTTTCAGAAGGAATTAGGGTGAAAATACTGAGGTAGATCACACAAGCCTAGTCAACTCCCAAACAAGAGGAGAAGTCCCATAATGAGCACAGTATATGCAAACTCCCACATCTTGGTGTTGCAAAACCTATTCCAAATTTAAGAGAGCACTCATAGATCCATAAAATAGTAACAATACAATACAATATTAGCTAATAACCTGCAATAATCCACCATGGCCAATACTGAGACTTTGGAGAAATCTAAAAAAAATACAGACGGGGCAATTTTATAACATGTGTAATCAGAGGGAACATATTTTTCATTAATTGTTGTAAAATATACATAACATACAATTTACCATCTTTACTACTTTTCAGTGGCATTAAGTACATTCATACTGTTCAACCATCACCACCATCCATCTCCAGGACTCTCTCACCTTGCAAATTCGAACCTTATACCCCTTAAACAATAACTCCCCATTCCCCCCTCCCCAAGCCCCTGGCAACCACCTTTCTACTCTCTGTCTCTAAGCTTTTGACTACTCCAAGTACCTCATATCAATAGAATCATACAGTATTTGTCTTTTTGTGATTGGTCTGTTTCACTTAGTGTCATGTCCTCAACATTCATCCATGTTGTCACATGTGTCTGAATTTCCTTCCTTTTTAAGGCTGAATAATATTTCAGAGGGAACACTTTAAAGGTATTTGATATAACTTATAGGTATTTAAATTGTCCCATGCATATTCAGTCACAGAGATTCTCTGCTTTGAATTTGCTGAGGTTTGGCCTTATCAGAGTCCATTAAGTATTCATATCTTTACAAATTGTTATCACTAGCCTTACATTCCCTAGCCACATGCTTGAAAGTTTTATAAATAGAGATGGAGAGAGAGAAAAGCCTTTTATACTCCCTCTGACAAAGAAAAAGAAGTACCTACACAAGATAGAGTATAAGAAGAGAAAAAAGACATCTGTGACCATTGGCTAGAGTAGTGAGGAAAGTTAGAAGTTCTTCAGTTCTGGAGGTGCCTCGGTGGCTCAGCTGGTTAAGTGTCTGCCTTTGCCTCAGGTCATAATGTCAGGGTGGTGGGATCGAGCCCCGCATTCAGGCTCCCTGCTCAGTGGGGAGAGTCTGTTTCTCCCTCTCCCTCTGCCCCTCCCCCCACCCACTTGTGCACTCACTCTCTCTCAAGTAAATTTTTAAAAAATCTTAAAAAAGGGGCGCCTGGGTGGCTCAGTCGTTAAGCGGCTGCCTTCGGCTCAGGTCATGATCCCAGGGTCCTGGGATCGAGCCCCGCATCGGGGTCCCTGCTCTGCGGGAAGCCCGCTTCTCCCTCTCCCACTCCTCCTGCTTGTGTTCCCTCTCTCGCTGTGCCTCTTTCTGTCAAATAAATAAATAAAAATCTTTAAAAAAAAAAAAAAAAAGAAGTTCCTCAGTTCTGGGCACGAAAACATTCTGATAATAGTCTAATCAGAGTCAGTCAAAATTAGGACTCAGCAGCAACATGAGACCCAAAGAGAGGAGTAATCAGGGCGCGCATTCCAACCTGTTGGTTGTTTTCTACCAACATCAGAAGCTTGTTCATGATATCTTCAGCCTCTGCAGCCTCAATGATCCCAGTACTGAACGCTGAGGTACACACGCAGCTGAGGGTATAGGCCAGGACCTAGAAGAAGAGACAACAGGAGATGTTTCTTCGTGAGGGAAAACGAAAGAACACGATTTAGTGGACACCAGTGTTCTGTCCAACTTCTCTCCGGGATAAGGACTGGATTCAAGTACGCCTACCACAGACCAGGCAGTGTTTCGCTGCCCGACGTGTCCTAACGATGGTATGAGATGCAGGTCAGAATTCCCACTTTACAGGTAGGGATGCTGAGGTCCAACTACATATAGCTTGCCAGTGACCGAAGCGAGATTCAAACCCAGGTCTTTAGACTCAAAATCAGCAAGTTCCCTCACCATCTCACGTCAGACACTGGATCTATCGACAGCAGAGGCTAGATTTTCATCCCCAGTGAATGCTACTAATAGCCATGTGCTCTGATCCAAGGCCAAGCCGGAGAAGAAATTCAAAGATGCGACGCATGGCTGCCTTCAGATTCCCTCCTAGAAGGAGTGGGGCAGAGCGGCCAGGCGTATGGGTTTTAGAGTCGCATAAATTGTGTAAAATAGAGGTAATATTCCTTACCTCAGAGCACTGGTGTGCTAATTTAATAAATGACTAGATGAATAAATGAATAAACGAACAAATTATAAATAAAAGAGAAGGCTGGGAGTCAAGACGGCCCACGCAGGTGTATGTCCCACGTCGACCACTGACAGGCTAAGAAACTTCAGGCAAGTCACTCAGTCTACTTGAGCCTCAATTTTTGCAAATCCTGGTTAACCATCCCCTTACCGCTACCTCACGTTTTCCTCCCGAAGCCCTCCTTCACAAAGATGCTGTTCAGGCAAAGTGGAAATGTTCAACTCCCAACCCTAGTCGATACGGCATGCAGAAAGGAAGCTGTTTCTAAGTTTGAAATTGGATAATAAAACATCAGAGGGGAGGAAAAAAACCAAACTGCCTGCTCGAGGCCTTATAAATCAAAACATCAAGGCAGACCGAAGCATCAGGCTCTAAAAACCTTGCTTTCGTTTATTAATCAAACTGCCCCTTGGTGGCAAAATTTTCTCCCTTTGCTTAAAAAGATGCGTCCTTTTCAACTGTGCTCTGCAACTCCTTTAAAAATGGAAATGTGGTGCATGTATTAGAACAAAACTTCAACCCTCTGTGCCCCAGAGAAATTCACCGATTCAACAAGTCCTATAGCTGAAAGCAGAGGGGCTGAGCGGGGGACAGAGTAGCCATTATGTACTCATCAATAGCTCGTGGGCTGGCCCAGAGAAAAGAGAATCTGCTCTAATGAGACAGGGAATCTGGCCAGGCCAAAAGGTCACCCCCGGGTGCTCCCAAAGACAGGGCCCAGGCCGTGCAGCTTCACCTGGGCAGACACACACACACACCTCAGAAGTCCACTCTGAACGCGGTCGACACACAAGAGCTGTGTCCCATGAACTGCAATTCTGCGTATTTTTGCACCGTAACAGAAAAATCTTTTCATTAAGTGTGGTAAAGGGAATTTCCTCAATGATTTTTCATGCTAGCTGACATTAAAAAAAAAAGAAAAGAAAAAAAAATCAAATGCCTTTTTCGATCCACAGTTTCTTAAGCTTATTCCTGGCCATCTTTTAAAGTTACATTTGGCTCGAGCATAATTCTAAAAATCTCCATTGAACCTTGCTCCGGAAATCGCAGCTCTTCTTAGAAAGTGCCTTCTAGCGATGCCGGCTTGGGTTTTTGCATTCACTAAAGGCTCTTATCTTATAGGCCACATTTAAGTCTGAATTTATTTAAACAGCTGCACAGTCTGAAAACCTTATGATCTAATGTTGGTGGTTTGCCACTCAGATTTTTCTCCTTATCCCAGTTGAAACTGAGGAAGAATTTAATTTCAGGGTTACCAAAATATGAGAAATAGAAAGTAAGTGGCCACAGGAAAACAAAAGACAACAAAGGGAAGAAAGCCATAACTCCCTGCTCCTACCTCCTGAAATGTTCTGCTTTGGCTCCCACTGTCATCTAGGTACGTCGAGAGCTTCCGAAGCGATGCTGCCACGTGAACTCGAGACTCTGTTTGGCTGCTGTGGCTCATGAGGGACAGAACAAGTCCAACGCCCAATATACAGCCCGTGCTTGATGAAAAAAAAAAAAAAAATCAGGCATTAAAATCACCAGAAATCCATGTCAACGCTCTTCACTTTTCATGGGAGTTTACACTGCTCTTGGACCTGAGATGAGATGGCTGCATTCTCAGTCTGCTGCCTGGTATATAAGTGTGCCCCATGAACCATCACAGGTACACCCACTGCCTACCTCCCCCCTGCCCTTGAGTGGAAAACTTTCTATCAAAACCGGGGTCTATGGCCCATGTTAGTGCTGTGGACCCACTGGAGAAGAACAAACGAAAATATGAAACAGATATGAGTTAAACTCCATGTGAGGTAGGAGGATGAATAAAAAGTCAAGTTCAACCAGCTCCATCCCTGCACTTAGAGAAGTTCTGTGGTCCTCCGCACCATCCCCCCATGTCCGCATGTGGACGGCGCTATGACAAACTGCATGAGAGAAAAGACTCCATTTCAGAATATGAGCTGAGGACATCTGACTAATGACTGGGGGGATACGTCGCAAGGCACGATGATGAGGTACTGCTAAGTGCTTCGTGTTTCCTAGTCAACTTCCACAAGTGGAATTTCTTAAAGAAACTGTGTATTTGTCTGTGCACAATGACATTAATCCTCTTCTCCCCTCTGATCCCTCTGAGTACCACTGGGTCAGAAGAGAAAATGGACAAATGACAGGCTTGTCAAAAGTTACCCCATGTGACAATTCAATTGGAATCTTAGGCTTTGTGTCCCAATTCTTGGGAAAGAATACATATCCATTTAAAGAAAAAATTGTTCTCCCAGAAAACTTCTAGTTACTATGATAAGATAATGCAGCTGTAGGGTGATTTGCTACCTAAAAAAAAAAAAAAAAAGTTTTTGTCATCATTGTTGTGTTTTGAATTGAGGAAATGCTGAGTTGTTTTCAGAAATCATCCCGACTCTGGTTTGGCTTGCCTGCCATGATATCTGCCGCTGAAGACTGCCATTCCAGGGCATTTCTCCAATAACATATTTCAAAGCCCGTAGGTTATGTCATTTTGCTCGTATATAGTATCTATCTCCTCGGCTGGCGTCAAGAACCTTCACATCGTTTCCTGAACATGTTAGTTCCTTCCCTCAAACACCTCTTGCAAATGAAGCATCCACAACGGAAAAGAGACCCCCAAAAGGACAGAGAGGCTACAGGATTTGTTCAAGGTCATATGGAGAGTTTCCAGCAGAGCATGGCCAGGAGACGGAGGCTTTGGATTCCCAGCCTTCTGCTCCATCTGCCAAGCCCCAGGCCCTTCTCAGGGCCCCGTAGGGATGCCCTGATGAAATGTCTATGAGAAGGCACCGTATCTCGAACATGTTTTTCTAGGTTCCATTGCATAACTATCTGGCATTAGGAAAGCCTTTGTAAAGAAGCTACTGCAGTAATAATCCATCATTAGCCAGGCAGAACTGCTGTTACAGCTTACAGGAACTTAACAACAAGCTCAACTAGCATAATGCATTTCCAACCAGTTAAATCAGCATCTAACATCTGAACACTGCATGCTTTTGAGACAAATCACATTTCTGAAGGAGGAAAGGCGCTCTTCATTAGTATGGATTTAAAGTCTTTGTTTCCATTTAGAATCCACAGGGAAGTTTTTTGTGTGGTTGTTTTTTTGTGTGGGGTTTTTTGGTTTTTTTTTTTTTTTTTGGCTCTTTCCATACTGGTGCATATAAAAATTTGACAAAATTAGAACCAAAGATATGGCTAGACAAAATGTGATTAATACTTTGAAAAATTTGACTTTTGCTCCCTCTTGACTATTTAACTGCTACTTTCGATTAAGATTTCAAATGTTACTTCCTTAGGGACACCTTCCCTGGCCCAGCAGGGAACCTCTTTGGGACTCTCCCATAACACCCCACACTAATTTAATTCAGACAATTTTAATTATAATTTTTTTTAAAAAAGATTTTATTTATTTATTTGAGAGAGAGAGAGAGTATGAGCAAGGTGGGGAGGAGCAGAGGGAGAGGGAGAAGCTCTTCAAGTGGAGAGCCAGACACGGGGCTCGATCCCAGGACCCTGGGATCATGACCTGAGCCGAAGGCAGGTGCTTAACCAACTGAGTCACCCAGGCACCCCTTAATTATCAATTCTGATGAGGATTTTTTGAAGGACTGTTTGATTTCTGCCCATGTCCTTCACTAGTCTGCAAGCTCCACGAGGGTGGGTACATTTTCTGATTTTCCCTCACCACATTATCTGTGGCACCTAGTATACCACTTTGACAGGGACAGAGTTCAATCAATATTGAATGCTGAAGAACTGACCCAATGCAGGGTTCCAAGAGAGTCTAAAGTGGAGAGAAGATCTACAAGAAAAACAACAACAAAAACAAGACTGGATTCTTACATTCAGTTGGAGGCAAAATTTACCAGTGGTAAATACACTGAATATATTATCCAAGATTCAATCAAGAAAACTCAATTCCCATTTCTTGCCAGACTAATTTAAGAAAGAGGAGTGTCAGATTTCAGGTGGAAAAAGGGTACCTCCCAAAGCTCACTTTAAGTATCGGGGTTTATCTTTCTCAATAAGTAATCCTAAGTCTGGCTTTTTGGGGCTATTCTGGGCATGCAAAAATCTTTATCCCCTGGACTAAAACTCTTTTACCACCCAAAAGCATATGGGCACAAAGGCTTAGAAAAAGACATCCTGTTTCCTAGTTCACATTTACCTAACATTATCACAGCATAATTATTCTTGGGCAACGTTACCATTCACTAACGATTCTATTCATTGCTACAATGGTCAATGACTGTTGTCATATGTGAATATATAATCTAACTACGTATATACATACGTGTGCCAATATAAATATGCTAGGGTGTATGCATCTATTGACCTTCTAAACTCCTTCTACTCTGTCTCATTTTTCCAGCATGGTCCAAGAAGGTAGTCCTGAAGCTTTATTCCTTATGTTTTCTTCTGATTTCCAAGTGGTCTATATTTTAATGGGTTTATTTTTTGTCCTAAGTCTTAAAGATTCTCCTAGGTGCTTAGGTCAGCACTGCTATGTATTTTACCTCATCTTAGCTCCCCTTTGATATATTTGTCAGCTCTAAACCAAGAACAACTGGGCAGAGGTAGCATTCACATCTTTCCCTCCACTGAAAACAAAAAGGAGTTCCATGGAGTTGTCTCAGACAGATGAAATAGAAACAAATGATAATATTAGCTATAAATTTCAGGTTTTTTAATTACTAACATGAATCTTGAAGAACACTAACAAATGACAGAGAATTTGAGTTTTAAAATTATCTGCCCTATTATGTCTTTACTTATTTGAATCTCTTATCCAAGTATATTAAAATATCACCGGCGAAAAGAAAACCTGAGGCTTAAAAGCTATGCAATTCTGCTCTGCGTGTTGCTATATCAACTGAGATATATGATAAATTGTTTCTAAAATTAACCAGAGATGAATCTTCAGTTCCTTACTTTATTGTGGACAACCATGCAGATTAAGTATGAGGCCATCTAATAATTAGTTCTAATGACAGTTAACATTTCTATAGCGTATTGCCCTTTACAAAGTGCTATAGAGATGTTATCATATTTGTAAAAGCTCAATAGTAATTAACCAGCACTCAGGTCGTTGACGGATGGCAGGACTAGTTAAGGCTGTGAGGACGGCAATGGCACAATGAGTACCACTAGATGGCAGCAGAATGTAAGTGATAAGGCCACACACTCCGGCCAGCCCCGGTGCCGGGTCCTCTCAGCAGGGACGTGTCCATTAAATCAAGGAAGCGTGGTGAATTTGCTCTGGGTGAATTCTATCACTTGAGGTGGCAAGCTCCCAGATCTATTAACTACCTCCGTAATGCTTCCACTATTTCACTTGAGGGAGGACTGCCCTAGACTCCTGAATCTCATTAGTCAGGGGAATACTTTATGCCTGGGCCTAGTGTGTCTGTCTGTCTGTCTGTCTTTTTAGTAGTGAGACACACTCACATGTCAAAAAAAAAAAATAGTCAACACCATATTGTCAGGTGTCAAATTGCTTTCTGTCTACTGAAATGTCTTCTCCCCACCAAACTATGTAAGAGACAGAAACCTGGCTTTGAAGGCAGACAACCTAGGTTCCTCCCCTAGCTGCTACTGACTGTGTGACCTTGAACCCATCTCCTGTGTGAAACTCATTTTCTTAATCTGTAAACCAAAGCTATGAGTGTTCCTGTTTTAGTATCAATATTTAGACTGTCATTGGGGCTGAATGACAGGAGAAACGGATGTGAAAATGCCTAGCACAGTATGCGGCTGCTTGGTATCAGCTGAACTGAAACCAGAGACAGAGCCACAAAGCATTAGGAATGACAGAATACTAAACTTCATTAACTGTAGAAAGAATGGGAGTTTGAAGAAGATGGAGAGTTTCTTGAAGGATCTGGGCTTTTAACTGAGCTCTGAGAGACAGGCAAGACTTTACTAAATGGACGGGAAATTTCTGATGACCCTATTCTACTTAATTCAGTAGGATTAGTCCCTATCTGGGCCCACCCTTTCCTCTGCCAAACACAGCTGATCACTAAGGAGATAAGAATCAAGAAACAATAATGAAGAAATAAGAATCTTCTCGATATAAAAAGTTAACGGGTAATGTTAAATGTCCTTACACACATGAGGTTTGTTATATGCATAAATACCCACACTGTGGACAATTCAGTTATCGCTATGGTTCTCCTTCATTCAAACAAACTTCCATCAGACTAGTGGAGATAATATATGTAAGTCATTCCTGATTGTTCCAACTGGCTGAAAGCCTACAGTAAGTTGATCCACAAATTTGTTCCCAGCTTTGTAATACCCTGAGCTATAGCTGTGATGAATACCTTTGGGGGAAGGCGGGGCAGGGGGAGAGAAATTTATCTTACTCCTTGGTTGTAAAAGGCAACACCACCAACACATGGATTGGACTCCAAAATATCAACTCTTCATCAGACCCGGTAACAGCTAAATGGCCCTATCCCTTCCATTAATCATTTTCTACATTCAAGAGACTTCAATCATGCCACTGAACTCTCTTTTCCCATATTCAAAACCACACTCTTAAAACGTCTCATTTCATCTCTAAAGTGTTTCATGATAAACTGGGTGGATGTCAATGATTCTTATCTGATCTCAGCCTGCATCTGAAAGAAGATCCTGTAACTACCACCAACGAAGTGAAGATTTGACTTTATCTACTCATAATGAAATATTTGAGATATGCAGTTACTTCTACTAGTTACTCTTTTCTCAGTCTGAACGTAACAGGCTAGATGACATGAATGTAACTTTAGATCCTAAGTTGCTAAAGGCCACCAATGTAAACAGTCACATTTGAGCAGTGCCTGTAACAGCAAAAAGTAAATGAGTTAATAAACTGGAGGTTAGTGCTTATAATTTGTTGAGTTTTTTAGTAACAATGAACACCAGAGGATCTAAACTAGAGCTTCCAAAACACGTGGAAGTCCAAAAAGATATAACGTAAGTCCCCAACTGTGTTAGTATTTCAGGAAGTCTAATAAAACTATATTCTCCCACACAATTCACAGACCAATTAAAACATTAAATGTCTCACTAAATGACTATGCTTAACTTGTTATTGAGGTATTCTTTTAATTTTTTAAGGTTTTATTTTTAAGTAATATCTACACCCACCGTGGGCTCAAACTCACAACCCCTGGTTTAAGAGTCATGTGCTCTACCAACTGAGCCAGCCAGGTGCAAGACATTCTTTTCTAATTATTCCTGTTTTTTTGGTTACCTTTCACGACTGGAATAATAAATTTATTTTTTATTTATTTATTTTTAAAGATTTTATTTATTTATTTGACAGAGAGCGAGCGAGCAAGCGAGAGAGGGAACACAAGCAGGGAGAGTGGGAGAGGGAGAAGCAGGCTTCCCGCGGAGCAGGGAGCCCGATGCAGGGCTCGATCCCAGAATCCTGGGATGACCTGAGCTGAAGGCAGACGCTTAACGACTGAGCCACCCAGGCGCCCCTGGAATAATAAATTTTAAGATATTTAGTTTAATAGACAAAATCTTTAAAAAGCATGAAGTCTGTGGTGGGGCGGGGAGAAACGATTAATATTGAGGAGTTTGGGAACCCCAGATGTACCCTATATTTGTTTCCGTTTTGATTCTTCAGTCGTTGGATTTCACACGGGAAATCTAAATTATGGGTCAAAGGTTCTCTTCGTCCAATCAAATTCAAAGAATAGTTTCAACTATTTAAAAAGGTTAAGTCATGCATATAAGTCTCCAGATACATGCCTCATATGGTAAGTACAAGACAGAACTAAGGTATTAATAACTTAATGACAGCCATGAAATGACATTCCGTTGCTTTGTAACGAAGCAAACGGTCTGTTGCTGAAACATGGTTTTTAGAACAAGTACCTTTAATTACAGGTTCTGATGATTACTGAAAACTCTTTGCAAAGGAATTCAAGATCTAGTCCTACGAGTATTTCACAATTGAATGCAAAGCGTATGGCAGAGAAAGATTCAGTCTTCAAATATCAGAGAGGAAATGGAACCAACATACTTATATTCAAGACTAGGATCAAAGCAGCAATTTTCCAGGGCATCTAGAGACTTCATCAGAAGAAGGTTCATCTGTTGGCCAGATATATCGCTGGGCAAAGACCAAGAGGAAAAATTCAGTTACTTAAAATCATTCAAATGTCCAAAATACTATATTTCCTCTTAATATTTTACTGAACTCTCAGTTAATTAAAAAAAAAAACGTAAGAGTAACAATAATATTGATGAGTCACATATACTTATTTTGCAGGCAGGGAAACGAGTCAGAGAATTTATTTAATAACTGAGTTCCTAAACAGTATAATCACTTGTAAACCAATAAACTCAAAAACTGCTACTTTTGTATTTCCTCAGCCCATTCAAATTTTAAACCACTGAAAAACAAAAAACCAAAATCAGAATTCCAGAAACATTTCTAAGAATGCTAACGTGATTTTCTTCAGAATATCTTACAACCCGTGAAGCTGAAATTAACAATAATCATTCCAAATCTCTTTCTTGCAAAGGTTACTTCTGATTTCATGTCTCAATTGTGAGGACTGTTCTTGTCCTTTTTCCTACATTTGTTTTTTCAGAAGCAGGGGGGAAACCCAGCCATGTATTTTTCTACCTTTAGAGAGTAATTGATGTGGTTTTGCGATGGTCTTGGTGAGAACTAGGACTTCTACAGTAAAAGAAAACTTAAAAGTGGTTCTATGGCTGTTTTTTCAGGCAGTTGTGGGCTTCATCACCAACACTTGACTGTTAAGGGGATCCTAACATGTCAACTGCCATACTGCTCCCTCGGACCATGCTCAGTGGAATGCAGCCCCAGGAATGCCAACCAGCCACAGGACACTTTAAAAAATGTCTTCCCAAACCAAGAATATAGTGGTTTTGCCTGAGGTGAAGGATTACATTTTGCAGTGAGCGCGCGCGCGCACACACACAGTTTAAATAGCTTTGACTAAGTCCTATTATAGTTGTTCTCTGGAGTAAAATATACTTAACTATTCTAAACAAATGCTGAAGCGATCCTACTAGTATCCTCTGGGAGTTATGACAGAAGCAAGCTCAGGAATAGTAACGCTTTTCTGAATAAATTCTAGACTGGAATTGAAATTCAGGCGACTTTTTCATAAGCCATGGCAAAAAAATGGATTGTCATGACTCTCTTCTACAAGGTGATTTTTCATTCTTGAGCACAACATACTGTCCTAATCCTGTACCCCTGAGGGGGTCATGCTGGGCCATTTACTGGATGTCACTGACTATTCAGAGTCAACAGCCCTCAAAATGATGAACTTAATTTTAGAAAAATGGAAACTTCCTCCAAAAATGTCATTCTCTAGTGACATTGTCATTATCTAGTAAAATACTCACCAGCACCAAAAGGCAAACATTTCAGACTCCTCTGCTCCGAGAAATTAGGAAGGTGGGAACCGTGAATAACTACACTTGTGGCTAGAATGCTCAAGACACTGGCCAAAAGAGGAAGCATGCTGTCCAAACAGATCATTAGAGCAAAGTGAACACTTGCACTGATTCTGAGGGCATTTGGCCTTGGAAAGAGCTGCCTGGTTTCCTTCCCCAGGCTCTCCTGCGGGTGCAAAGTCAAGTGAGAGAGAGACAGGAGCGGAAGGTAATCTAGGAACTGGGATGAATCCTTCAGGTTTCTCCAGGTAGCATGATTAAATTAACTGCAAGTGCAAGCTTGTCAAGCCCTACAACCAGCAGCCTCTCATCCTAAACTAAGGATGAGGGTAGCCAGAGCCAAGATAGGATGAAATGAGTTGCCTGGAATTAAACTGCCATGGCTCATTTTTAGTTGTAAAACGCGCGGCTTGAAAGATACTGAAGAAAGAGCATGAACACAGATGGTGACGAAATTGCCATTTGTAGCAATAGTAGCAAAGGGGGAAAAAAATCACTTTCAAGTTTTAAGTCTTGAAAAAACATGTTACGTTCTGTCACACACACGAGATATGTAACAGTCAATTCACATGCAAAGGGCAGCCTTTTGTTCATGTCCAGAACCAGGCCTATAAATATGAATGCTGGTCAACAGAACAAAACGAACATTCTAGAAACGTTTTCATTTATGATCACAAAGATGAAGCCAATCTTCCCAATCATCTGACAGATGTTTCCAAGAGCTGAAAATGATCATCTGACGTATTTCCCTAGATCAACAGCAGTTCTCATAAAGGTTTCACATAATGGTGTTTGCACAAAGCTATGTAAATTACAAATGCAAACTTAACCACCGGTTTCAAACTGAAATCTAAATATAGCATAATGTCATCCAGTTTACCCACATCGACACCGTCTCTTGGCTTCAGACAGACCGTTAATTTCTGCCAACCAGGGGAGTTTAAGGACATGGAACGTCACAACAGGATGCCTCTCCCAACTATCCTATTTCCAGTGTGAGGGGAAAATGGGGCTGAATTCCAAGTCAGTGCACATCTAAATATTCATGATATTCAAATATTCATGTTGTACCACACACTGCAATCAACCTGGGTATATAAAATTCTAAGACTTGTTACAAAATAAAGACTAAATAGGACGGACAACACAACCAAAGTAGATTCATGCACAAGAAAACTTTCCCATGTAGTGGAATTTTCCACCTGGGTCTTTGATACTCAGCTCCATTCAAGGGTAAAGCTAGCAGTCCAAAACTGAGCAAACGGAATAAAGCACACAGTATAATATGCACAGATTAAGACTCTTTAAGGATTATAAAAATGTAGCCAGGGCACAGGATAAAAGCAATCTTTAAAACTGGGTACATAGAGTTCTTAGGTGATCCAGGTGATTCCCAGCGCCCTCAGGCAGCAGGGATATTCCAATTTTTTCCTCCCATTTTATAGTGATATCAATAATCAACAATTATTTTCACCCTTGGAAGCCAGGGGAAAAAGCAGTTTATTTTTAGCACCACGAGATTACACTTTTCCTCATATCTCACATATGAGGATACACATATCCTCATACCCATTACATGGATTTTTCCAGGGTTTTCAGCTAAGCATGGCATGATGTTAGAGTCACCATCACCTTCATGAGAGCAACCCTAAAAATACCCTAATATCTTTGTGATGGCATTTTGGAAAGACAGATGCCCTCACAAAGGAGAAGAAAGGGTCGGACCTGCCCATTTCAAAAAGTTTAGCAACCACATTATCGCTCGGACAGAATGTTCGGGAACGTGTGTGCCCGCGCATCACATCCTCTGCCTACATCATCACAAAGACAAAAACGGAAGAGTATTTTCATGAACCGTACCTGAGTTTCTCCTCACACAAGCGCGAGAGAAACATCCCCAAAGCAAGGCCCATGTGGATCTGCACGGCTTGAGACTCATCAGCTCTTGGTTTCCCAGGTAACCTGGCAGTCAGCATGTTTAGGATTTCCTCAACCTTCTCTTTGCAAGAAATCATGAAAACTGGCACGAGGAGAGACAAAGCCGTGGCGGCAGCGGAGCGGGCAATCGCGCTAGCTGTGTTTTCACCAGAATAGGATTTCTAGGACATGCCAAAGGAAGAAAACAGGGGTTGGCCTTTGGTTTTAAAACACAAAGGGAGCAGACCTATCACAGAAGCACCACACAACAGGATCAGCGGCTCTGAGATCCACCCCCACCAATCAAAAACATCATTTAAAAAAAAAAAATCGATTTTTATGTTTGTCTAGGTAGGTTCCCTTTACACTCTTCCTTCCTGAAACAATTTGCTACTAAACAGTTGATTAATATCCTTTTAAATTTGGGGGATGGGGGGAAGTGTCTTCTTTTAAAGGGTGTGAATTCCCTCACTATAAAGCCTGAAAAAAAGTCAGTATTTTGAAAGCCCACGTGTGTTTATGATTAAAAAACAAAAAAACAAAGAAACCCACCAAACCCCTAAGTGAAGTTACCCAAGCTTGGAGAAACCACCAAGCTGTACTACAGATGTCCAGAAAGCCAGTTTTCCAGGAGAGAAAGAGAGCGTGTGTGCGGTGGGTGGGGGGCGGGTTGTTACAGTTTAGTACGAAGGAAGAAGTGCAAGTTTAGCACAGGAACCTATTGGCAGATCTCCCAAAATTTTTGGTGGGAACGCTTCCCAGTAGATGGATTATTTCCTACAGGGGGTTAATTCCTTTTAATTAAAAAGGAAGTTGAAATCCTAAAAGCCTCTGGTTACAAAGCAATAACCAGCTATTCAAAACGAAATGGAGAGCTCTATATGCCCCTTCCTATATGTAATTATGGGAAAAGAAATGAATAACAGCCCTAATAAAATGGCAGGGCAGCTGAGTATGAACAGCTTCTGCAAGAATCCCATGTTAGGGAGCTCCAACAGACATTATATACATTTATAAATATGTCTCAAGTGGGGAAGGAAGGCTGTTTATCATTCCGCCACTATTATCCACTTCAAATTTTCAGACACGTCATAAAGGCTGTTCTGTCCCTCGCAATCAAAGCACATTAAAAAGTGCATTTAATTCTGTACCCATTTGCTCTCTAAGCTTTAGTACTTCAAACAAAATCAAACATGTGCTAAGGTATTCCTTAAGTTAACATAGCATTATTGTAATGACAGTACTATTCAAAATGACCCAGCTGATCCAACACTGGAAGTCAAGAAAGTGATTTTCGAATCAGGGCTTCTTTGAAGAAGTAGAATAGTGCAAAAATCACAAAGGTAAGAGGCAACCCTGAGCTGGCTACTAAGGAGATTATTTTTATTCGTTTGCAAGAACTAAGCAGCGCGATTAGAAATCTCATAGAATATCCTGTCCTGGTGAATATCTGAACCAGAGTGCTATTGCAAAGACCTCGATATAAACTAGTTTTTCGTCCAAAATTAAAGGAATAAGAACACTTCTAACAGCAAACAAATGGATCATAACGCAACGATTTCTTTGAGGAAAATCTACCTTCCAATTTAATTCTATATTATCTACAAGTCATTTGTTTGTCCCAGAGTATAGTTAAAAATCCTAGTTCCAGACCCTAAGGCCCAGATGAATACGTACCAGGTCCTCCCAAAAGCAGGAGGACAGAGGCACGCAGAACGCTGTACAGAGAAGACAAGGTAATGGAGTTTCGGGCTCAATTCATGATCTTAGCAACAGTTCACAACCTGTGCTATATTTTTATTCAAATCGACTATAATCCTCCACCACTCAGCTGATTGTCCCATGATCACTATAATTCCCTAAGCAGTGGAGAGTGATAAGGCAGAACCAAAATAATTCTGGGCAGATGCAGAAATAAAGCATGCACGACAGCCAATGAAGGGGAAATAAAACCTAAACAAAAAAAGTGTGTTTTCACTTTGTTTCAAATCTTAGGATATTAGCATGAAGAAAAAGAGTGACTAAGTGACAGGTGCTTTTTTATGAGCAACAACAATATTCCTTGATATGTATAGAGTATTTCACAGTTTTCAAAACATTTTCCCACAAGTTATATCAATGTGATCCTTGCAAATCTTTTATAAAGTTGGCAAAGCATTAATCTTTACCTTCACTGTACAGGTAAGGAAAATAAAATGATGGGTTAAGTATCAGGTCAACAGGGCGCCTGGGTGGCTCAGTTGGTTAAGCGACTGCCTTCGGCTCAGGTCATGATCCTGGAGTCCCGAGATCGAGTCCCACGTCGGGCTCCCTGCTCAGCAGGGAGTCTGCTTCTCTCTCTGACCCTCCCCCCTCTCATGCTCTCTATCTCATTCTCTCTCTCAAATAAATAAATAAAATCTTAAAAAAAAAAAAAGTATCAGGTCAACAGTCACAAAACCAGTAAGGGGTGGAGCTGGGACTACAATCGTTACAGATAATATTGTTCAATTGCCTCATTTTACACGTAAGGAAACAAAGGTCTAAAGAGATTATGTGAACTGCCCATGGTCACATATCCTGGAATTAAAAAAAAACTACGAGTAGAAACTCAGGGACCCCAATCTTTAACCAATGTTTATTTCACTACAACTGTAGCTCTTGCCTCCGGCTACACATGGGAATAATCTAGAGACCTTTTAAAATACTGATGATGCCCAGGCCCTTCCCTAAGTAATTAAATCAGAGGAGAGGCCTACAGGTCAGTATTTATTTTTTCTATCTATAGAGAGATCTTATATATATACATGTGCTTGCACGCACACACATACACTTCAAGTTCCTCAGGTGATTCCAACGTAAAGCTAAGACTGAGTAATCACACTATGGCATGGCTTTCATGTGAACAACTAATATGAGCAGCCTCAACCCTTGACTTTTCCCATCATTTTTAAAATTTTATTTCTCAGACTTACATAATAAAACGAGGAGAAAAGTTGTCCTCTGGGTTGGTAATGGCTATCCACAATGACCAGGAGAGTATCAGACACCATGGAAACCCACTCCTTCATTGAAAGGAAATTAGGCTGAACCTGCAGATGAAGAAAAACATGAAGTGAGGGGCAGCTGGGTGGCTCAGTCAGTTAAGCGTCCAGACTCTTGATTTTGGCTCAGGTCATGATCTCGGGGTCCTGGGATCTAGCCCCACTTCATCGGGCTCAGCACTTGGCAGAGAGTCAGCTTGAGGATCCTCTATCCCTCCCCCTCTACCCCTTCCCCTGCTCGTTTTCTCTCTCTCTCTCAAATAAATAAATCTTAAAAAAAAAAAAAAAAAAAGGAATAACATGAAATGATAATGGAAAAAAAAATAAAACTTAAATATTATTTCTAGATCCGGGGCACAAACCCCTTCTGTATTAAAGAGTAAAGCGCTACAACCAAAGAGTAACTTCACCCGTCAGGACTTTAGGAGGCAGATAGATATTTGATAAATACACATCCTCAACCTGTGCCCCAACAGGAATAGGATTTACCTTTTATACAAGACAAGCAGAGGTGAGAGGACAGGGGCTGCAAAACAGACCGTGTCTGAAAGCTCTCCGCTGCCCACCTGTGTTTAGTGAGGGTGACATGGGGGTTAAAGGAGAGATGTGCAGAGAAAGAAACTCAAAATGTCTCATTTCTATGACTTCCCATTTCACAAGAGGCAATAAAGCAGCCTACAAAATTCTCATCACCGTTTTTAGCATTTCTGCTTACTATCACCATAGATTTATCACTCTGAATCATCACAATGTGTGCCTAGCTAATTAGGTATGAAAGCATAAATGATCTTCAGTTGGAAAAAGAAAAGGAAAGAGAATGCAAAAAACAACAACAACAACAACATGGAGCACCTGGGTGGCTCAGTCGTTAAGCGTCTGCCTTCGGCTCAGGTCATGATCCCAGGGTCCTGGGATCAAGCCCTGCATCGGGCTCCCTTCTCTGTGGGAAGCCTGCTTCTCCCTCTCCCATTCCCCCTGCTTGTGTTCCCTCTCTCGCTATGTCTCTCTGTCAAATAATAAATAAAATCTTTAAAAAACAACAATAAAACCCAACTCATTAAAAAGAGACCTTAGTTTTAAAAATCATTCATGGGGCGCCTGGGTGGCTCAGTTGTTAAGCGTCTGCCTTTGGCTCTGATCATGATCCCAGGATCCTGGGATTGAGCCCCACATCGGGGCTACCTGCTTGGCAGGAAGCCTGCTTCTCCCTCTCCCACTCCCCCTGCTTGTGTTCCCTCCCTAGCTGTCTCTCTCTCTGTCAAATAAAAAATCTTTTAAAAAAATAAAAATAAAAATCATTCATGACTGTGGATGTCAAAAGCATCTGGGGGCACCTGGGTGGCTCAGTCGTTAAGCGTCTGCCTTAGACTTGGGTCATGATCCCAGGGTCCTGGGATTGAGACCTGCATTGGGCTCCCTGCTTGGTGGGAAGCCTGCTTCTCCCTCTCCCACGCCCCTTGCTTGTGTTCCTGCTCTATCTCTTTTTCTGTCAAACAATTAAATAAATATCTTAAAAAAAAAAAAAAAGTATCCATACACTCACAGGGTCACACTCAGGTGGTGCAAACGACAAAGGTCAATGCAGTGGTAAGCATCCTTGGAATTAATGCCTTGACTCAAAGAAGGCCTTCTTCCTAGGATCTTTGGTTGTTAGTCATATGCAGATTTCATATAAAGTTTGAAAACCTCAACGTTAATCAAATAATGAGGTCTTGAGTTTGTACTAAATAACAACCAAAGACAAAGTGATGAAGAATAAAAGCAGAGTCCCATCTTTGGGTTGTGTGGCTTCTCGATGTTTTGTGTAGTTATCTGTTACAGCACAGAACAAAAGAGTGGGGAAATAAAGAAGAATAAGATTGCCTGGAACTCAAACTCAGAGCTAGACCCCTGGTTATCACTGGGGCAAATCACCTGCAAGTCTGCCCAAAATCAGGGATCCTAGAAAGGCACATTAACTTTTTAGGTCGTAGATTCTACTTAGCATGTTGTCTCTGCTAAAGAACTTCATGGCTCTTTCAAGGATGTAAAACATCTTTCTCATCATTAAAGTAAGATTCTGCATTTAAAGTTAAAATTTCCTATGGTAACTACACTTTTATGCTTCATGGAATAATTGCTTGGCCCCTTTCCTTTCCCCAAAGGTAATATACATTTGTAGCTTTTGCCCACACAGCCTCTATTCTCTTGTTTATTGGTAATGGCACCCTTTGGAGAATTCCCTCCTCCATGATTTGAAGCTTGCTTAAATGCTCAATGAAGCCACCCATCCAACCTGCCCAAGGGGTGGGCACGAGACCCATGGGACCCTAAATCTTGAATGACAAGCACACCACACGACCCAACCTGATCCATCCCAGGGATGGTAGTCTGCTGTGATGTGTGATGGTTCTCCTAACACTTCCTGTCCCTAATGCTCTTCCCCAAACCCAGTTTTAAACTTCGCCTTCAATTCCATGGGCTTCCGGATGCCATATCCTTCTGCTTTTTTATTTAGATGAGAGTTGGTTCCTTTGCTTGCAACCAAAAAACTCCATCATGAAAAAGGAGTACAGATGGCCCAGAAGACACACTGAGGGAACAGAGACAGGCTGAATAGCATTGAATAAAGCCTGGTTTTTGCAGCAAGAAGTCAGATGATGGTTACTGTTACTGAGTGCTTAGTATCTCCCAACTGTCAAGCTCTACATATATTCATTCATTTGATCCTCCCAGCAATCCTGTCTGGTGAGTACCTTTATCCCCACTTTACAGACGGGGGAACAGGCTTTGCAATGGGAACTTACCAACAACAGGCCACAGAGCTAGTGAGTTGCAAGTATTGGGATTTAAATACAGGACTCTCCTACTCCAAAGCCTATGTTTTTTAACCACTGAGCTATATTGTCTCCAGATAATGACAGCTACTAGATAATAGGGCTTAAAAGAAGAATAAATCCATGCCTTTTTATTTTGACAGATATGAATTATCTGAAAAAGTACACTGGAAATGAACATTGGCCAGCTTGCTACATGTTTAATTAAGAAATAAATGCCTTGCAAAAATGAATAGGCACTTTGTCATTGACATCTACAATTAAAATGCAAAGTACAATTTTTTTTCAGTCAGTAAACACTACTTATTTATCATTTTTTGACAGCATTGTTCACTTTCAGTAAGCCTAGTTAACCTCCTAAGATTGGTTACCACTGATGTAATCACAAAAAGACAACCCCTGTTGCATAAAATTGGTACCTTCAAATGGAAATGACCACTTAACTGTGATGGAGAAAGCAAAACAGAAGAGCAGCAAGGAAAAGTGTCTGCGGAGCCCCTCAAGCTCGCCGTGTGAAGACCCAACAAGTAGCAGAAGTCGGTGCTGCCGCAGGCATGGGCTCTAACCTCGTAAACTCAGGGCCAGGCTTAAAGAGGCTTCTCACTTTTCAAACGTTGCCCAACTGGTTCAAATCGCCCTTAACTCACCTCCGGGACCCCCTCTGAGTCTGAAGAGAGACTGGCTTCGTGTTTGGATACGATGACAGCGAGGCTGCTTAAGGCTAACAGTGCGTTGCCCTTGACCACTGGGCTCTCCCTGTTGAAAAAGAAAAAAATTCCAAGAGAGGATTTGGGGGCATTAACCGGGAGAAGAGAAGGCATTATTACAGAGAAGGCAGACGAGGTCAAAAAGCACTTCCATTCCTTCACACAGCTTCATCCACACACGTCTGCTTGTGCCCTGATGTCTTCTCCTTCTTCTGACGCTAGCGTGGATTTCTCTCTCCTCATATGGGTATGGTCTTTAGACCTTGGGGGTGGGGGGGTGGGTGTGTGTCTGTGTGTGTGTCTGTGTGTGTCCTACAAGTCTAAGCCCATATATCTAAGTTCTTGCTTTCTAAAGTTTTTATTTCATCATTGGACGCAGCATTAAGTAAGCGATATCTTTCCGTGTCATCTTTGGCAATATAAATTTATCGATTTGTGCTAAAAAATACAAGCGGAGACAGTTGCGTGAGTAAGCGCAGTAGAATGCAAGTGGCCTCTGGCTTTTCTCAGGCACTGGTGTGTGGAAGCAGCTTCCAGTGAGCCACTTCAGGCAGCATGCTTTACCAGCAACCTGCCACACTGGTTATTATAATCATTATCATTATTAGCCTCCCCTTCTTTCCCTCGAGATGTCAAAGCCAGCAACCTTAAAGCGGTTTGTGATATAACTTAGAGACCCTAGGTAAGGTGCAAAAAAAAAAGGGCCTGTTTTTAAACTATCTGGATGGACAGTTGCCCTCCCATATTATCCAAATGGTGGTTTTTCTATTAATAGCAACAAAATCCTAAATGTGACTTCTGGATTTAGTATCAAGAAAACTGAACCTTTTCAAATATACTTACCACCTGAAAATGAACATTTAATATTATTCCATTATTCCAATGTGATTCTATAGAAGAAAATCTTCAGTGCGACACTGATGAGATGTTCTTGGCTGGCCCACCTCCATCATAATAGAACACCCAAGCCCTCGGATGGTTCCATTCTGTCCTGGTTGGGGGTTCCCACAAATACAGAGACTGTTTCCCAAAACCTGAACTTGAGACCTGAACATGAACCTGTGGGTACGTGCTAGAATGGCTCCTGCTCACCCCAGTACAGGAATGGAACAGATCTGTGGGGTGGGGAGACTTCCAGCCCCGCTCCCCGTGCAAGCTAAGGACCTCCAGTCCCAGGCCACGGTCATGTCAGAATCTGTGAGTTATGGGTATTCAAAGGTGAGTATACACACACGTTATTGCATTTTTGCTTCCATCGGGTAAGAATGGGATTCAGGACTTGCCATGATCAAGTTCCACCATCTACCTATTCATGGAATCCCTTCTGCCTTCTTGCTCTCCCACCTTGGGGTGGTTAAACTCAGTGAAGGCTTGCTCTGTGAACTTGCTCATTCTGTTCACTTCTGTTTAATTCATTCCTCTATGAGGACTGCCACAATTTGGTAACACAACAATCTTTATATTGGGGGACGGGGTGAGAGGAGAAAACAGGAGGAAGACCTGAAGGCTAAGCAGATGCCTTCAACCTAGGTTTTGCTAGAGTTTTGCAGTGAGGATCACTGGGATATAGATAATAATAAAACACCAGGAAGCAGGGCAAGGTCTGGGCATTCTGAGGCACCAGAGCCCTAACATCACTTAACAAAACCAAAATTGTATCTTCTATTTCTAATATGATCTCTTTCCTTTAGCTGAGAATATCCTGAAGCCTGTCCTGCTACAAAATGACCATGAATCCCTAAAGTTACATTAAAAAAGAAAAGTTTCAAATTCTCAGTGATCTGACAATTTGATCCCTGGGTTTTGTTTTGTTTTTTTACCCTATAGAAAAACTCAGATTGTCACCAGAAATTGGGTATCAAATAATTTAAAACAAGGATATTAGACAAGATGAAATGAAAAGTCCTCTTGTAACCCTGAATTCCGGGAGAACATTTAGCCTCCGTTTCAACACAGAGACCCCAAGTGATTTTGTTTCAGAAGTTTCACTGGTCCTGACATTCCGGAACACATATTGCTCTTGTAAAATGGAGAAAAATGTATTTAAAGTCAGTAGTAATTAGACCTTTGCTTGCAGACTAAATGCATATTTGGACATTAATCTTTGAATAGAAAAAAGTATGTCACAGTCCACACAGTGAATGCTCGGGCCAAGCTACACACTTCCCAAAGGTGCTGTGACGAGCTCTTGGTCAACTTTGCATTCCCTGCATGCCTAGCACAGTGACTTATGGAGGGGAGATACTCGATACGTATTTAGTGAAACAAATTCACGGAGGAGCTTGCCAGGTGAAAATCTACAACCAGTTCAGCAAAAACCCATCAGCTTGTGGATCAAATAACTATCCCCTACCAGTTGGGCAGTAGTAACTAATTTGCATAATAACACGTCAGCATCAGTACAGTATTTACCTAGGCAACACCACTAGCATTTTAATTAAACTGTCCTTTGGAACAAACTGATGCCATCAACCTAATTAAAAAGCGCAGGGAAGGATGAGCTACAATGATGCTTTCTTAGGGACAAAGTATACATTACATATTAGTAAAGTGACCCAGTCCTTTGGGGATTTTCATCTTCGGGTTCAGATCTATTTCATTAATAACGATGAAAATAAACTTACATCAATCATCAAGGTTTATCTGTGTTCTGATTCTCCCTTAGCCCTATCCTTGATGCTTTAAAACTGCTCTTAAATGAGCAAATCAGTCTAATCCTGTGACTGGCGTTTTACTTCCTGCATTTAACTTACGGCTCAGAACAAAGTCAGTCTTACAATGGTTCCAACCAGCCTGTGTTAGCCATGATCCAAGAAAGGGAAGGCTAAGCTGGCAGCAGGTGGGGGGGGGGGGGGGGGGGGGGGAGGTCCTCCCATGGTTGGAGGAAGCCGGTGGGAAAAAGTAAAGAGAGGGCAGCAGAGTGATTTTTTTCTCCCCCTACACTATCATTAATCTCTCAGCCTCCGAACCTCACTTGCTGTCATATACCTACTATTGTCAGCATTGTTTTAATAAGATAAGGTCTATAAAATACTTGGAAATTTTTGATGAAAAGGTTTAGCACCATGAGAACATGAATTATTTTTATTCCCTACCACTGAGAATGTGAACACGCTCTTCTTAGTTATTAGTCATGAAACGATGCTTTGCAAATCTGAAGATTAAAATCTTGTTGAAATAAAATTTTAGAATGGAAAATGCAAAAGCTACTAGAGAGGCAAAATTATAGTCTAATAGAAAGCTGCTAGATTCTTCAGCGTTCACGTTTTTTTGCTGCAAATGTCAGAGCGCTGTTTTTAACAGGATATAAGTAGGCTACATAATGGAACAAACTATGAAAGGTAAAGGTCAAAGACAGCCGCCGACCCAGCACCCCCTCCCCTCCAATATGCAGCTGAGCGCTCCCCCACTGTGTCTGCAATTCACCAAACTGGATAAGCAGACACAAATGAGTCCCTAGCGAAGCCTCTCTGTACTTTAGTTTTCATTTTGTCAACAGATATGTCAACAGATATTTCCCAGGGCCTCCCACAGAACTGAGTGCAGGGGAGGATTACCACCTTTATCTCCCTTTATTCAGAAGACACGAGGCTGAGTAGTGATCATGTACTGTGATCAGACTTCACAGTTCCGTGCCTACTTAAGAAATTACTGGTAGAAAGCGAACTCTAAGGTAGATCATGTTCTTTGGTGTTTTTTTTGTTTTGTTTTGTTTTTTAAGGTCAAACCTATTTAGCCACGGAAGGTTCTGGGACATGATAGGGATAAACTATACTGCAATTAAATATGTCTAGATAATGTGGACACATGAAATCCCCTAGGTCAAAGGTCAATCCATGTTATTTGGTGGATAAGAAAAAAGGAAGTCCTACAGAAAGGGCAGCAGCTAAAGGTGATGGTGAAAGGGAGAAGCGGCAGTAACTGACGTGTAACTTACTGCCAGAAACAATTACTCAGCTTGTTAGCAAAGGAACCTGAAGAGATTGTTCCCAGCAAGTTCATTAGGGTATAATTTTCTGTTGAGAGTTGGCTTAAGATAAATAAAAAGCCTCAAGGTGGTAATACTCGTTATTTTTGTTAAAACAACCATAAGGATATGATTGAAACTGCCATTTTCATGGGACTTCACGCTCGTTTTGGGTATTTAAAAATTGAATTTTTAGATACCCTGGACCCCGTAACACAAAGGGAATGAAAGGAAGTACTACTCTAATTTATTTCCTGGCTCACAGTTGAGATTTAATAACCTATTTGTAGAACCCACATAATTCACATTAGCAAGAATTTCTCCTTCCCTCAGCAGCCCCCACCCCCGCCGCAAACCAAATGAGAATCCTTTAAATCTAAGTCAAAGCACGGGGCACTTTGTTAGGTGTACAACAAGGGCATGACCTCCGTGACTCTTGATGTCGAAGTCATGTTTGTATTGATTCCTCTGTATTCTCACAAAAAGACGTTACCTTAAGAATTAACACGAGAAAGGACAACAACTGATTTTTTTAAAAAATAATGAAAAAAATCCTTAAAGTTAGGACATACCCTAAAGGGAGAAATGGTATGCACTTGCCAGGAAAAACAAAACAAAAAACGTTTAAAGAAAATTTTTGGTAAACGAATAAATGGATCTTACTTGGCCGCCGCCTTGGTGATCTCCTCAGTCAACATGTCTCGGACCCTGCAATAAAGATTGAAAATAGGTGCAGGAATTGATGTTGGAATAAGAACTCCATCTTTCTGCTTACCCGTCAATTAATAAAAAGCTCTGGCAATGACTCCAGATCCTAAAACTCTATATGTGGAATTTTAGTGTTAGGTGAAAAACCTGAAATAGGAGCTTTCCTTCAAGGACTTTCCCCTGCCTATTCCTTAGGTCACTTACTGGAGGCGGGGAAGGAGGGGACTGTAACTGAGGAGGGACACATAGGCAGTGTTACGATGGTGTCACCTCTTAAACTGAGTGGTGGCTACACAGGTGTCCTTTATGTTTTATTTTATTCTGCTATGGGCTAAATGTTTGTGTTCCTCCAAAATTCGTATGTTAAAATCTAAACACCCCATGTAGAGTTTTTGGAGGTGAGGCCTTGGGGAGGTCATGAGGGTGGAGGACTCCTGAGTGGGATGAGTGGGATGGGTGCCCTTGTAAGAAGAGACAAAATGCTTGCTTTCCCTCCTGTGAAGATACAAGGAGAAGGCGGCCACTCGCACACCAGGAAGCAGATCCTCCCCAGCACAACATCTCCTGGCACCTCGATCTGGATTTCCCAGCCTCCAGAAGCATGAGAAACAAATTTCTGTTGTTTAAGCCATCCATCCAGTCTAGGGTATTTTAGCTATAACAGCCTAAACTAAGACATTCTCTGGTGTTTTGCAGAAGAGCTCACTAAAATAGCAATTTCCTATGTCCAAATTGTAGATAACGGAATCGTCACTATGTACGTATAGAAAATAAAATTTAAAATGGTTATAGAATCACTCTGGAGCCGAAAGAAAATAATTACACGTGTGGATTGGAAGATAGCATACATACTCAATTCAAATATTCACCAGATACAATTTCTTTTCAACATAAAAGCCTGAGTTCAAGAACAACCATGGACTGCCCTATTTACATTTTTGAAGAAGAAGCAATCATGGGTATTTTCACTATACACTCCAAGTTTCATAAGCTCAAACTTTTTATAAATATAAAATTTTTACAAATATGTTATAGCTGTATTATTTTCATTGGAATACTAAAGAATCTTAGCAATCAGCACTCTCTGAGAATGACTCGATCTTCAGAGCCAAGTTTTTCGTTTTCTTTTTTTTAAGATTTTATTTATTTATTTGAGAGAGAGAATGGGGGGGGGTCAAAGGGAGAAGCAGACTCCCTGCTGAGCAGGGAGCCCGATGCGGGACTAGATCCCGGGACTCCAGGATCATGACCTGAGTCGCTTAACTGACTGGCAGTCGCTTAACTGACTGAGCCACCCAGGCGCCCCAGAGCCAAGTTTTTGAAACAGTTGCAAACACTGCTCCTACAGACCATAAACTTGCATTCCTATAAAACTATTTGACAATAAATTTCTCTAAAATGTATTGTCCTATCTCAGTCTTCCTAATGGACTACAGTGCATTCAATGCGTTTTGTTTTTTTTTTACTGGTCAGTGTGGATATTTACAAATGATGACCTGCCTATAGTTCTATGCTGGGGCAAACCTTCTACATGTGGGCTAGTTCCCGCCTCTTACCTACCGGCTTCTGTCTGCTGCACCACCAACTGCTCCTTCTCTACCTGTGTAACTCCCCCTAGCAGGTGGACACACTGTAATATCTACCATCTTCAAAGAAGAAAAAACTCTCCAGCGATTGCCCCATTTCACTGCTTCTCATACATCAGAACTCACTTAAAATAGTTCATCTCCTTCCACTCTTTCTAGACCCTTCTATAATCTGGCTTTTGTCCCCCAGCTCCACCAAAACAGCTCCTGTCATGGCCGCCAAGGACTTCCAAGAGGCCAAGTCTTTCCCGATTCTCAGTCTCCACCTTTTGCAGCCTCATAGCAGCCTTTGACACAATTGGTTTCTCCTTTCTCAAAACACTTTCTTGCCTCGGTGTTTCAGATTCCATTCTTTCTTGGTTTTCTTCCCACATCACTGACCACTGCTTTTCCCTGTGCTTTATTGGTTCCCTCTTCATCTGCCCCATGTCTAAATGTTGAACTGCTCTGGGCTCTGTCCTCTGACCTTTTCTCTATCTTTACTTACTCCTTAGGTGATCTTATCCAGCATCATGATTTTAAATGCAGTTGATATGTTGGTAATTCCCAAATTTATATTTTCAGCCCTGATCTCATCTCCAAACTCTATACTCATATTGTCAATGACCTACGTGATATCTCTAAATTGGAGGTCTAATTAGCAAGTCCCAAACCTGATTCCTACCCTACACAGGCCTGGTTTTCTACTGTCTTACCCAACTCAGTAAATGGGAAGTTCATACTTTTAGTTATTCACAGTCAAAATCTTGGGAGTTATCCTGGATGCCCATCTTTCTGTCACACATTCTTCATTCTATCTCTCTATTTTGGAGAATACAGCCAACATACATACCCTACCCTACCAAATGATCATTTTTAGAAGATAAACCTCAAATTATATGTAAAAGAGAATCACAAAGAGGAAGCAAAATTCAAATTCTTAACCTCTAATCTTAAATTCCATGTCCTAATGTTTTAAACTGTGTTGCTATTTTGAAAGTTAATCTAGAAAATGCAATTTAGAATAGAATTACTTAAACATACATACACGCACACACCTTCTGCTTTTCTACAAATGCCAAGCAGTAAACAAAAGCCTAAACTCCAGGAAGCTTTGAATAGATTTTTAGATTTAAGAAACCTGGTGGCTACAGGCAAAGCAATTTAGATTCTAGGCACTTTACCTAGATTTAGGTTGCTGCCACATTAATCTGACAAGGTATTCTTCCTAACCCATGTAACAATTTAAATTGCTTTCAATGTGCCAGCATTTACACATTTCTAGCTAATACAGTGGGAATTCACCTGGGGACATCTGCCAAAAAAATTAAAACCCTGATGCCTTAAAGGTACTCCTAATAATGAAGATGTCTTGGCGGGGGGTGGGGAGCACGGGAGTAGAGCAGAGGGGTATTCCTTGATTAAATGGAAGTTGTTAGGAAGGCAATGTATTGAGTGAGAAAACAGAATTTTTCCTTTAAAAGCATATGAAATAATCCGTTACAAGGGGGAAAAGGATAAAGCAACCCATTTTTGCGCTGCTTTAGAAAACCATTTTAAAAATTATTAAAATTCATTGAATAAAGCTCTACTTGTTAGACCTGGAAAATCCACCTATTCAGGCTCTTCACCTTCGGGCATGTATATAAGTTAAAATTCCCCACATAAACCTTTATTTTTATTTTATTTTATTATGTTATGTTAATCACCATACATTACATCATTAGTTTTGATTCATTGTTTGCGTATAACACCCAGTGCTCCATTCAGTACGTACCCTCTTTAATACCCATCACCAGGCTAACCCATCCTCCCACCCCCCTCCCCTCTAGAACCCTCAGTTTGTTTCTCAGAGTCCACAGTCTCTCATGGTTCGTCTCCCCCTCCGATTTCCCCCGTTCATTTTTCCCTTCCTACTATTTTCTTTTTTCTTTTTTTTTAACATATAATGTATTATTTGTTTCAGAGGTACAGGGCTGTGATTCAACACTCTTGCACAATTCACAGCACTCACCATAGCACATACCCTCCCCAATGTCTATCACCCAGCCACCCCATCCCTCCCACCCCCCACCCCTCCAGCAACCCTCAGTTTGTTTCCTTAGATTAAGAAATCCTCATATCAGTGAGGTCATATGATACATGTCTTTCTCTGATTGACTTATTTCGCTTAGCATAATACCCTCTAGTTCCATCCACATCGTTGCAAATGGCAAGATTTCGGGTTTTTTGATGGCTGCATAATATTCCAGTGTGTGTGTGTGTGTGTGTGTGTGTGTGTGTGTGTGTATGCTGTAAACAGTGGGCCCCTCCCCCCTCATCGTTCGTTTCCCATGAGGAGCAATGAGCAGCGGGTCGCCATCCCCTTACCAGAGCCAGGCTGTGCCTTTTTTGTACTGCACCTCCTCGGGTCCTTCTTTCCCGTGTTTCAACTGCAAATCCAGCTCTCCTGTCCTGCCCTGCAGGACACACAGCATAAATCGGAATGCAAACCCTATGGCTGAAACGATCTTAGCATTTCTTTGTAAAACACTGATAACCGATGTAGCCTTTACCCATTGGCCGCCAGTGTTCCTAATAAAATGTTAGATTATTAAAAAAGAACGTGTGAGGAGAGAGAATTATATCACCACTCAGGTATTTCAACACTCACTAAAGAAGTTTATCCTGGAGCAGCTGTAGATTTGAGAAATTTAGTGCATAGCACTTCATTTTGGGATATCGATTAAAAGCAGATTTGAATTCCATTGGTCCCGTTAAAAAAACAAAAAAAAATCCCCTTTATCATAATGATAATTATTTTTATTTTTTATTATGTTCTGTTAATCACCATACATTACATCACTAGTTTTTGATGTAGTGTTCCATGATTCATTGTTTGCGTATAACACCCAGTGCTCCATGCAGAACGTGCCCTCTTTAATACCCATCACCAGGCTAACCCATCCTCCCACCCCCCTATCATAATGATAATTTTAACAGACACTATACCAAGATTGGGGCCTGGGCACCAGTACTTGAACAGAATGATAGAAAATGAGGATGGTCATAAAACACTTAAGATTCGGGTAATATATAACCAAAGTTACTCTCAAACATCTGCACATTTTTATTTCTTGAATTTATAAAAGTTGACACCATAATTTTCAACTTCTACACACAATAAAAGTAGAAGTATAACATAATAAAAACATAAATAAAAAAATAAGGCCAAAACCTTCAGATATTTATTTTCCTATTTTTTTACACTCAGGATTATTTTGATAGCTCCTTTCCCCTCTAGTCTTTAAGCAATTACATTATTTAAATGTACTTAAAATACTGGTTTTGGGGCACCTGGGTGGCTCAGTCAGTTAAGCATCTGACTGTTGATTTCAGCTCAGGTTATGATCTCAGGGTCCTGGGATCGAGCCCAGCATCAGGCCCCCTGCTCAGTGGGGAGTGTGCTTTTCCCTCTCCCTCTTCCCCCGACCATGCTTGTTTGCTCTCTCGCTCTCTCTCAAATGGATAAATAAAATAAGAAAGAAAGAGAAGAGAAGAGAGAAAAGAAAAGAAAAGAGAAAAGGAAAGGAAAGAAAAGGAAAGGAAAAGAGAAAAGACTGGTTTATTGATGAGCCCTAAACTGGACGAGAACTTACTGTGTATTTTTTTTTTTTTTTTTTTTTTTTTTTTTAGGTATAGGCAGAGCCAGGGTTCTTTTTTTTTTTTTTTTTTAAAGATTTTATTTATTTATTTGACAGAGAGAGAGACAGCGAGAGCAGGAACACAAGCAGGGGGAGTGGGAGAGGGAGAAGCAGGCTTCCTGCCGAGCAGGAGCCCGATGTGGGACTCGATCCCAGGACCCTGGGATCATGACCTGAGCCAAAGGCAGACGCTTAACGACTGAGCCACCCAGGTGGCCGAACTTACTGTGTATTGTGTTACTGAGTGATACCACACCATTTTCAGAAGTGGTTGTGCAGCTTATGTTCTCACTAGCAGTGAAAATAAAAGTTCTAGCTACTCCACATTCTCATCAACATTTGGAGTTGTCAGGCTATGAATTTCTACTATTCTGGCAAATGTGAAAAAGTGTTTATTATGGCTTTAACGTTCATTTCACTGTTTATCAGTGAGATTGAAAATATTTTCAAATGTTTATTGACTTAGATTTCCTACTGTGTCCATTTTTCTTTTCTTTTTTTCTGTTTAAATATTTATTTATTTGAGAGAGAGAGAACCGGGAGGAGCAGCAGAGGGAGAGGGAGAAAGAAATTCAGACTCTGTGCTGAGCGCACAGCCTGACATGAGGCTCCATCCCATGACCCTGGGATCAAGACCTGAGCTGAAACCAAGAATCCAACGCTCAATCCACTATGCCACCCAGCTGCCCCCGTGGGTCCATTTTTCTACTGGTTGTCTTTTTCTACTGATTTTAGAGTTCTAAGATATGGGGGCGCCTGGCTGGCTCAGTCAGTAGAGCATACGCTCTCTATCTCAGGGTTGTGAGTTCAAGCCCCATTCTGGGTGTAGAACTTACTTAAAAAATAATAATAAGGGTGCCTGGGTGGCTCAGTTGGTTAAGCGACTGCCTTCGGCTCAGGTCATGATCCTGGAGTCCTGGGATCGAGTCCCGCATCGGGCTCCCTGCTCAGCAGGGAGTCTGCTTCTCCCTCTGACCCTCTCATGCTCTCTGTATCTCATTCTCTCTGTCTCAAATAAATAAATAAAATCTTTAAAAAAAAAAATATTTTAAACAAACAAAATAATAATAATAATAATAATAAAACAAAATGAAAAGTAGAGTCCCAAGGTATGTTCCACAGGAGAAAATTATATCTCCATATAAACTGTAGAGAGGGAAGCAATACAGTTTGCTGGGTTAAGGATGTGGGCTCTGGAATCAGAATGCCTTGATCTAAAGCCATTTCCATTGACTTGCCGTGTAAATTCGGACAAGTTACATCGTCTCTCTATACTTCAACTTCCTCATTTGTAAAATGCAGCTAACAACTATCTCACGGCATTAGAGCTCCATGCTAAATCATGTGGAGAAGTGTCTATTTAGTATGGTGGCTGATAACAAATAGCTACCATACCAGGTTTATTGTTCATAACAACAACAACAAAAATCCCACCTCACTTTATTATCTTCTTATGAAATGATCTCTCATGAATATCTATAAACCCTCAGTTACCACCAGCCTGCGAGCCCACTGAAGGCAAAGACAGTCCATCAGTCTAAGGGGTCCTTGTACTTAGTGCAACTTCCAGCCCACAGTGCCCTGGGGCTAACCAGCTCAGGCATTCTGAGATTTGATGGGCATCCTTCAGAATTTCCATTTACTTCACTTATATCCGTCCCCATCTCCGTGTTTTCAAAGATAGAATCCTGGGGCGCTTGGGTGGCTCAGTCGTTAGGTGTCTGCCTTCAGCTCAGGTCATGATCCCAGGGTCCTGGGATCAAGCCCCGCATCAGGCTCCCTGCTCCGCGGGAAGCCTGCTTCTCCCTCTCTCTCTCCCCCTGCTTGTGTTCCCTCTCTCACTGTGTCTCTCTCTGTCAAATAAATCAATAAAATCTTTGGGGGAAAAAAAAGGGAAGAAAAAAAAAAGAATCCTACTCTTTCATTCTCCCCTCTGTCTCCTGGAGCAAGGTATCAGAGGTGAACAAACTGGCAAGACATTAATATTAATACTTATTACTACTGATACTGACCTCCCAGGGGGATAGACAAACGAGAAAATAATATTTCTTGCCTATCCCTGTTAGTTATGCTTCTTAAAGTAGGCCTCTTTACTCCTAGGAACATTTACTTGCCATAATGTTTTTTCCAAAAAGGATAAGCAGGAGGAAATGAAAAGGTTCAAAATCTGCTTAGAAATAAACCAAAAAACAAAAAGAGCTCAGTATACGTGCAGCCTATTGAGAAGGCCTACGTTCCTAATCTCTCCTATAGCCATAACCCACTACAACCATCGACATAACTAAGTAAATTTCTTATTTCTTCTTCCAAAATCTCTTGCTCCTCTCAATCCCCTCTTCTGGAATGTCTCCCTCCCCCTTTCTACCCAGTCCGTGTGAGGCTATTTATTCAGACCCACTGTGCCCCCAGAGTCTCTGTGTGTTGGTCATGGTGGCCCCCATCTCTGTCACCTTGGCTTCTGTGATTAAGGGGGGGACAGCACTCACCGGGAGGAAAAAGGCTGAAATGATCACCTGAATTGAGATTTTTGGATTGCCTGTAGATTCCAATTATTTATTGGACTAATATTCCAATAATTCCAATAATTCATATTTCCAATTATTCCTATCCTTCTTACCTTTCTTTTCTTTAATCTCCAGTCTATATAACCAAGAGCTTGCTGATTATAGTGAGCAATTTCACCTAGCTCCAAAGGTGTAGACGTTAAGAGCAAACTACTCCTACAAACGATCAGAGAGAAATCTACTGGGGTTGCAATTCTTGCCCCTGGTTTTGATTTCAGATTATTTTACAGCCAGCTGACCCACTCAGGAAGCAAATGTCTGCAGTCAACCTGCTTTCTAAGTCCTCTCTCCAGGTTGAGGTCATATTCACAAGAGCGCTTTCCACAAAGTCTGGAGGCCTTAACCAACTCGGCATCCCACACGGGCACTGAAGCAAAGATTGACTGAACTGTCAATCAACTGGTATCTATCTGCGTTTTTCCATCTTAACGGGAAGAAAGCCAAATACCTCCCCATGTCAAGCACATTGATACGCCTAAAATCCAAATTCTGACGTTCTTGTGGAAAAATTAGATACGGCTGGAAGCAGATGCCCAAGCTAAAGCCACTGGTCCTGGTCAGATCTCAGACTTATTCACATCATAATCAACCTCCAGGAAATAATGCAACGTGTATCTTTCCACATGTCTCCTAGGCTTAACTGAATAAAACATGCCTCCTCTAAATGATCCTCTGGTTTAATGCTACAAAATATGTCTAGCACCAGATGGAAGTAACTGTAACTCTTGTATAGACGAAGGATCCTCCAGGACAGAAAGTCTTGATATAGACAAGGAGTCTGGCAGTTGCTCTAATTCTTCTAAGAGACCATAAATTCGGTTTAAGTGTGTGGGCTCATTTTAAAAAACTCAATTAAAATGCATCAGTGTGTGCTTTCAAATAGTGAGTCCCCAAAAGGCTTTCCTGTACTTTTAAATGATACCAAAAATCTTCTTAGAGTCTATACTCTGAGTTTCCTTTCTACTGTCACCAATTCTCAGTGGAATGGAGAGATCCAAAGTAAAAAGGGTTTTAAATGATAAATAAGCAAAGAGGCACATTAGCATCTACAACAGTAGAAAGGCAGAGTAACTGACCTACATTAGTCAAAATACTCAGCTGGCTTTTCGTAAATAGATCTAGCCTTTAAAAAAGTAAACCAATTTGCATTATTTGTTTTTATGACTCATGATAGTGCCAGGGAAAGTGTGTGCCGCACTGGAAAAGGCTGAGGCTCTGCAGACAGACAAAGCAGAGGAACTCCCCGTTCCTTCCCAGGAGCCCAACAATTGTGACTATTGGGTTTTGCACTGTTGCTTTGCTTTCCTAGCTAACCCCGCTTTTGCATCTGGAATCCCATCATAGGTTGCGGTTAACAACACTCACTTCAAAGGGTTTCCGTAAAGATTCATTGATATAATACATGGTAAGTGTTGGACACACACTAGTTGTTCAATAATGGTAGCTCTTATTATAAAAAAATAACTGGAGGTTTGTTTTTTTTTTAACCGATTGCAAGTCACCTGCATGAGTTATACCATCATCCTGTTCGGTTTAGCCTCCTTATGTTAGGAGCTAAATAAAATTCTCAGTTCATGCTGCAGGAGGAGGAGTTATTCTTGCCTTCTTTCTCCAGGCACCCAAAGTACTTTGTACATCCTCTATTAAAGCCCAAAAGAGGTTGTTTTAAAATTGCTGGTGGACATGTCAGTCTCCCGCACTGGACCGGGAGCTCACAGAGAGGAAGGAGTGCTTTATTCTCCTTCCGCATCCCACACACCTGGCACAGGGCCTGGCCAGTGAAAGGTGGTCCATAAATATTTGCTGAAGGACTGCAAAACCACATCCAGTCAAACAGATGTGAGAAAAAATGCATACTCTGACTTGCAATCTCACTCTTCTTGACTAAAAACTGTAATTGGTTAAGGGTGTGTATGAGTAATACATATTCCTTCACTCACGCACCTGTTCAAAACCGAGTGCCCAGATGCCACCTAGAACAAAACGCATAAAGGTGAGCCAAAGGGAACAAAGGTTCTAGAAGGACATCTTTAAGATGTGAATTCCAGTGTAGTTTGGGGAGCCATCTAAAATGTGGTGGTGCTGGGCGCCTGGGTGGCTCAGTTGGTTGAGCGACTGCCTTCGGCTCAGGTCATGATCCTGGAGTCCCGGGATCGGGTCCCACATCTGGCTCCCTGCTCAGCGGGGGGTCTGCTTATCCCTCTGACCCTCTTCCCTCTCATGCTCTCTGTCTCCCATTCTCTCTCTCAGATAAATAAATAAAATCTAAAAAAAAAAAAAAAAAAAAATGTGGTGGTGTAGTTGACAGACTATGTTAAAATGACCTCACAGCTTGGTAAACATGGAAGTTCCGGTCCCCTACTCAGTTCCAATGAGTCAGAACCTCCAAAGATGCATCACTGCTTTATAAATGCTAGACTCAATAAAATATGCTGCAACAAAGTTTTCAGACGAGAACACCAATGCTAAGATGCTTAGTCATTCCTTCCCGAACCCCCAGCTCCCCCCCACCCACTCCTCCTTCCCGTTCCGTCTTTTAGGACAGCTGTTACCTGTAACCATAACACCACACTTCCTGAGATTCCATGGAAATCCTATTCTGGGCCATAAATTAAAACTTAAGCACCATCAGATTTTTTTTATCATCCTTAAAAATGAATTTTAAGCTTGGAACAAAGGTTGGTTAGTCATTTCCTTATATTGTTAACTGTTTGTATATTCCCACACTGACCCCAAATTTTCTAATTTCAAAACCCACCAACTACGACGTTTAGTATTACTGGATTAAATGAAGTCAAATTGAGTATAATTCATTTATTTACGGAGCACCTACTATGTTTTAGACACTATGCCACGTTCTAGAGCGACAGCAGGGAAGAAAACACAGCTCTTAGCTTTAAGGAGCAGAGACAACCAAAGGGCCCCAGACAAATATCTAAGGTGATAAGGGCTTCAAAACAGGAAGCATGGGGAATGCTTGACTGGCTCAGTCAGCAGAGGGCATGACTCTTGATCTTGGGGTTGTGAGTTCCAGCCCCACGTTGGGTGCAGAGATTACTAAAAAAAAATTTGAAAATAAAATAAAATCTTAAAAAAAGCCGGGGGGTGGGGGTGGTAGGGAAGCAGGGATTCTAAGAAAGCACAAAAGAGGGGCATATAATTCAGTTTTGGGGGGTGGGCCCCACAGGTAGGTGCCTTCCCAGATAAAACACTCTAAAAAACCCGGCAGAAATCAGGTGGGCAAAGACAGAATGGCAGTGCCTACGGCAGAAGGAACGGTGTGTAAAAAGTCGAGAGGTTAGGGAAGACGTGCTGAGTTTGACAACAGAGAGATTTAGCAAGACTGAAACGTACAATTCCAGAGAAGGATTAAGAGATAGTAAGGCTGAAGCTGTAAACAGGTGCAGCCTGAGGAGGCGCAGGTGTGGGGGCAGACGGTGAGCTCAGTCTGGGACGTGCGTACGTCAGGGCGCTGTGGGACAGCCACAGGACACCTGGGACATCTAGGAGGTCTCAGAAAGCAGTGGGGTGTAGAACAGCACCCAAGAGGGGGCTCTGGACTGGCCACAGATGGAGGACATCGAAAATGTAAGCGCAGTTATGTGCGCAACTCACAGTCTTTTATGAGCAAAAATAAGCCATCTTATTGGCTTAAAAAGATTAAAATCTTTTTAAAAGATTTTACTTATTTATTTATTTGTCAGAGAGAGAGGGGAGAGAGAGAGAGAGAGAGAGCATAGGCAGGGGAAGCGGCAGGCAGAGGGAGAAGTAGACTCCCCGCTGAGCAGGGAGCCCGATGCGGGACTCGATCCCAGGACACTGGGATCGTGACCTGAGCTGAAGGCAGACGCTTAACTGACTAAGCCACCCAGGTGCCCCAAGCACTGCATTTTTGATAGTGCTATTTTCCTAAGGGCTTTTATATTAAATCCATATGTGCGGTAAAATTTGAGATCCGAAGGAGACACTCCCCTACAGCACCCGATCCTATGGTTTCGTTACCTGTAAAATGGCATGATAAGCTCGACTCATATATGCAAGCCAGGCCGGTGGCAGAAAGATTGCCCGGTGCCACTCGGAAAGCTGGATGTGAACCTGTGGGGAAAACGGACCACAACATAAGTTAGACTCTGTGGTATTAAAACAGAATAGAATTCCTTCCCCCCTTCCCTTCATTTAAATGATTTAGATTCTAAAACAAACCAAATCAGTCTAGGATCGGAACCACAAATAAGATCTTCCAGCTATTTTCAAAGGAGAAGAGTTTAGAGTCGCGTCAAGACAAAATAAAATAAGCCTGGAATTTTCTAAATTAAAGCAAATAGAATTCTACAGTAATCACAAGTTAAGATGTATGTGTAATACAAATGTATCTCTGAAAATGAGGGGCCAACTCTGTAAAGCCTCTTGCCAATGTCAGGAAACTAGGTATTGTCTAGCAAATGCTCCTAGTCATTTTAAATAAAAATAAATAACTGCTCACATCATGGATTTCCATGATGACAATTTTTGAAGTAATAAACTTCAATTGCCAACAGAAATATCACATTGTGTAGAAACCATGAGGGCCAGAGATGCAAATGAGTGCACACCACTAGATAAATGCCCTTTAATCAGTGTGGGTAAACAAGAGAAAAATGATCTATGCCGACGCTGAAGCCCTGTTTCTGAAGAGAGGCCCAGACAAAACATCTGGTTTTCATAGTCATTTCTGTTTCTACCTATTAGTATGAGGCTATCTTGCAACAAATCTTCCCAAGGTCTGCTTCTGTTAAAGAAAGATCGCTCACGAAAAACAGTCACAGTGCATCACATTTCACATTTCCTGTAACTCATCTCATCTAAACCCAAACAACTAAAACTGTAGTCGGGGTCCTACGCACACAAAAACAAAAAACAAACAGCCAAAAAGACAAATTTCTATATAATGACCCCAGAATCATGATAACTAGGGCGTGTAAGGAGATCTTACTGTACTGTGGGAATTAATTTTCTCAAGGGCTTGGTGAGAGGGAAGAGAACAGCCCGCTCTGAATGCAGCTGCTTCCCAGGACCTCTGGAATTTTCTGTAATCCTAGTCCTCGTGCGGGTCTACCACACATAAGGTACTATGAAAGGTTATGAGGATTATCAATCAGTGTGTGTCTGCAAAGAGCTTTCCAGTGGGAGAGTCAGAAAGGAGCATAAATAGATTATCAGGCGAAATTAGGAGGAACCTATGGGAATAAAAAGAACAAAGAAAGTTAATTCTGTCTGCTATCTATCACTTCTCATCCTAGCACTGCTTTTCTCAAAAAAAAAAAAAAAAAAAAAAAAAAAACCTCAATACTCGGAGAGTCTGAAAAAGATACTCGTACCATGAAATGAACTTTAAAAAAATCGTTAAGGACAGGTTTCTTCTTTTTCTGATTAAGTACTCACTGTATCGAGTAGGGTAGGGAGAGCCTTGTCAATAGGTCAACAAAAATCCTTGAAGGAACAGGCCCACCAGTTCCTGTTTCCTCTCTCATTATCTGGGAAGCACACTACAACCGAGGCCACATTTCCAGCTGGAGAAGCATTAATCGGCCTTCGGCCCTGCTCTCTGTTTCCAAAATGTGGGGCAGTTTCCTATCAATTCTATTTCTGTTTCATAAAATCCATTAACTCTCAAGTCCAATTTGGGGCTCCTGGGTGACTCAGTCAGTTGAGCATCTGACTCTTGACTTTGGCTCCAGTCATGATCTCAGGGTCCTGAGATGGAGCCCCGCGTCCGGCTCCGCACTGGGTGTGGAGCCTGCTTATGATTCTCTCGGTCCCCCTCCCTCTGCCCTTCCCCTCTTAAAAAAAAATCCTATTTTGAGACCCGGATTTAACAGAAAGAACACTCAACCACCACAACCAACTTTCCTCTCTTACTTCACACCCTCAAAATACTTCAATATTTTCCTGACAGATAATCCATGGATATCACTGCACTACTGAGAATATCCACAGTCTCAGTCTATGGGTAAAAAGAGCACTGAATGTTTTTGGAAGGACAACAGTGGCAATTACCACTTCAACCTGAGTTAAAAAAAAAAAAAGAAAGTATTATGGAAAAAAATGTAAAGGAAAATGAGCAAATCAAACGTTGAGCTTCTAAGAACAAAAGCATTTATGCCCGGAAATCTATTTGAAAGGAGGTTATAAACTGAAGGTTAAAGCTAATCCTCCCGCTGCCGCTCCAACCACATCTGAAGGTGGGAGCGGGGACCCAGCCCAACTCTTTTTTTTTTTTTAAGATTTTATTTATTTATTTGAGACAGAGAGAATGAGAGAGAGAGCACATGAGAGGGGGGAGGGTCAGAGGGAGAAGCAGGCTCCCCGCCGAGCAGGGAGCCTGATGCGGGACTCGATCCAGGGACTCCAGGATCATGACCTGAGCCGAAGGCAGTCGCTTAACCGACTGAGCCACCCAGGCGCCCCCAGCCCAACTCCTGAGCCTACACACCAGCCTGAACTCCTCATGGTTTATGAGATTATACCTAGTCTCAGTGTTCTATGGAGTTAGCTGTGAATAAATCTCCTTAAAAATGCACTCTCTTGCTCTTTCCTGTACTGAAGAGAAACTTAGGGAAACAGCTTGAAATCAGTCATGCCCTTACACTCCAGTTGGGTTACACAGCAAGAGACATCCTTGACCATTTTTAACAAAAACACTTTTTAGGACGCTATTCTAATTCAATATACAGCCACCCATACAGGTTAATGTTGCTAGGCTGAAAAATACAGTAAGCATTTTTAAAGCATGAAAATTATGTATAATTTGCCAAACTCTGAGAAGTCTTTGAAGGAAATCCAATCAACAAAATAACTGCAAATCATGAACTTGTAACCCTGTTACTCAGCGGATGAGGGTTCTCAACTACTGTGCAGCAAGTTTTCATGGATGTGGAATGTAGTTTTGCTTCATCCACACATACCCTTGCAATTACGGGTGTCTGAGGGACTGTTGGCATGAGCAGGTTCTATGATCTGGAGAAGAGTAAGCGTTTCTAGGTATAAGAGGGAGTAAGTATCATGAAACATTACACATGTGCGTAAAAAAGAGACCATTTTAGAGAAATATACACGAGTAGGGAATGGGGGGGAGGACAATGAGGGGAGGATAGGGACAGGGACACTTTACAGGACTCAATAGGGCAGTCAGGGTAGACCTCATTGAGAAGGTGAAGCCTGAATAAAGACTGGAATGCGATGAAGATATAACAACCCAGATAAGTGCTGGTGGAAATGGAAAACAGGTCAGCTACTATGGAATACGCTTTGGTCATTCCTCAAAAAGCCAAACACAGAATTAGCCTATGACCCAGCAATTCCAATTTTACGTACATACCCAAAAGAATCAAAACCATATACAACAACACTGTACATGAATGCTCAAAGCAGCATTTTCACAATAGCCAAAAGATGGAAATAACCCACGTGAGCAATGAATGAATGAACAAAATATATCTACAATGGAATATTATTCAACCATAAAAAGGAATGGCATACAGATGCACATCTACAGATGTAGATGAACTGTGAAAACATTTATGTGAAAGAGAAAGAAGCCAGACAGAAAGGTACCTATTAGATGATTCTATTTATCTGAAATTTCCAGAATAGGTAAATCCATAGATGTGATTGTCGGGGGCGGGGGGGGGAGGGGAAGGGAAGAAGGGAGGGGGAAATGGCAAGTGATTGTTTAACATACACGTGGTCTCACTGGAGGGTGATGAAAGTGTTCTGGAACTAGATAAAGGTGACGGTTTGCACACTGTGAATACGCTAAATACCACTGAATTGTATGCTTTAAGCTTGAAAAGGGTTAATTTTATGTTATGCGAATTTTACCTCAGTTAAAAAACACACACAGGGCGCCTGGGTGGCTCAGATGGTTGGGCGTCTGCCTTCGGCTCAGGTCATGATCCCAGGGTTCTGGGATCGAGTTCCGCATCGGGCTCCCTGCTCCTTGGGAGCCTGCTTCTCCCTCTGCCTCTCTCTCTCTGTGTCTCTCATGAATAAATAAATAAAAATCTTTAAAAAAAAAAAAAACACACACACACAGACAAGGTGGAGACACGGGTGGTTAACCTATTTGAGGTAACCAACTAAAACCAACGAGCATGGACAGAGTGAGCAAGAGAGAAGTGCGGCAAATTAACAGGGCAGTCAGAGAACACAGGGAAGGGACTTCTAGGTCACTTTTCAGGACTTTTTTTTTTTTTTTTTTTTTTTTGAGAGAGAGAGTACGCGCGGGTACAGAGGGCAAGGGGCAGAAGTAAAAGGAGAGAATCTTAAGCAGGATCCATGCCCAGCACAAGGCCCAACATGGGGCTCAATCTCACAACCCTGAGATCATGACTGGAGCTGAAATCACGAGTCAGATGCTTAACTGACTGAGCCACCCAAGCACCCCTCAAGGACTTGTCTTTATTCTTAGTAAAGAGGGAGCCATTATAAGGTTTTGAGAAGAAAGACATAATCTAATCTATAGCATAAAAGGATCATACTGACTGCTATGTTGAGAAGAGACTATAGGGGGCAAAGGTCAGAGCAGGGACACCTACTCACAGGCTATGGCAATAATCGGGATAAGAGAGAACGGTGGTTCAGAGTGTCAGCAACACTGCAGAATACAGTTTTTGAATATTTAGCTATTTAATTTTTCCACCCACCCCAAATGTTAAGTGAAATCCCAATATATAAAACAGAAAACAGGCAAAACTTGTCTAGATGAAGTGAGGACGAGGGCTGGGGGCTTGGTAGTCAGCCCGCTTGATCATCCGCCCCTATTTGTGGTGGTCCCCAGGACTCTTGAAAACATGATTTTAACTAGAAGGACATAAACTAGATCAGTGGTTTCAGAAGAAGGGGGAAAGGAAAGGGACTGACTACAAAGGAGCATGGGGGAATTTTTAGGGCAACAGAACTGTTCTTATCTTGACTGGGGTACGGGTTACATGAATGTGCTCACATATAAAAATTCATAGAACTAAGTACTGAGAGGAGAAATCAACTGCATGTATATTATACCCTGATACATATAAAATTAAAAATACAGAGTTTGAAAGTCACTACTTTCAGAT